TACCCTCTGGATCTCGTCAGGTATAGTCCTACTGTGTTGTGATTAATTTGTTTGAAAGATGTGCTTACTCTGCTGGTCGATAATAGTGGAAAACACTTCAAAACAGTGCTTGGGTCCACAGGTTGTGAGTGGTTGTGGGCGTACCTGAGAATCGTGAGGTCCCAAGTTCAAGACCTGCGTTGGCAGCAGGGAGCATGTGCTGTGCTAACGAACGCTGTGATGTGTATACGTGAACAACGTTGCATGTTATGAACTGCGCCGACACCCAATGTTAACTGGTTACTCACTACTCGGAGTGAGGGTAATATGGATGCAGCTGACGAGGTTTCGCCCCCTTCCCCCGTCGAGCCCTGGTTGTGAGCTAACCATATTTCATCCTCGCCGCTAGGCTCTGCACCTGCCACTTTGGTATAATCAGGCATGTTGGTGGCTGGGCATGAGCGAAACTTTCTAAGCTGGTTTCGTGTTTCTCGACACCATCGTATCGCCGGTGGCAACGCGGATGTGTGAACTTTTCTTTACTAGTTAGTAATGCAGACAGTTGGCGTCTTCCTTGAACTTGCCAGGCAGGTGCAGGGTTGACGCGTCTGTCAACAATGCCAAGCCAAGCTAGTCTTTCTTCCGCAGCTTGGAGAGCGCTCTCCACAGGGAGATCCGCTGCCGCCTTCGTGTCGTGTCGAATCGTGTCTATCCACCACCGTCGTGTTCAATTTGGGGTGGAGTGAAATGTCAAGAGCTGCCAATTCAGGGGAGTGCACACATGAACAGAACGTGTGTTTACTTGTCAAGTGCGTGATTTTCTCGGTTTTGATGATGGAATGCTGAATCGTGAACCCTTTTGTAATTCCCTACTCTCTATACCAAAGCTGTGCTATAAGATCTGTGTGATTGTACTGCGGATAGGCAGGTTTGTGGGTCCGATAGTCATTGTCCATGTGTGGAAGGAAAAGAGATGGAAAATTGCCCATATGTATATGGATGTAATGTGTACTAAACGTAGTGACTAATGTATGGCCTGTGTATGTGCCTGTGCATGTGGCATCTTCACAGGCTTCATATAGCGAGCGTACGGTAGGACCTGATTACCGCCTGTGACATCACGTCATACCATCCGTATACAACCATGACTGTTCATACCTGCTGTTGTTTTGTATAGGACACGCTTATCTGTACAGATGGAGAGCAAGAATCCAAAGTACAAGTAAGTTGATATAATTGTTCGGCAGTCTTTCTTTCTATCAATCTGCCTGTCTTTCTGTACACCTGTCCGTCCCTGCATCCATTCATTTGTCTATTTCCACTGCGGGTCACATACACACAGGTGCTGTCAGAAAAAATACGGAGTGCCCTGGAACTTGATGAGTTACTCCGTCTTTTTTCTTTGTTTCCACTGCTCTATTTCTTGATGTCTGAAGAGAAATGGTCAACTCATGTGCTATCTGCTTGGATCCTTCCTCTCTTTTTTTATGTTCAACTACAATGTACATCAGACCATCTGGTAAAAGGAGAGCGATCGCTCTCGCGCGCCTTCGCTCTCCTTATTTTCTTTTAGGGTGCACTTTTCGTCGCGCGCCTTGAGAATTTCGAGCGCATCCGCATCACTATGAAGTTCTGAAAACACTCAAATATTTCGTAACTCGGCTTTCCCTGAACGAATCGAGTAGTCGAAAGGTCTCTTCGCATTAGAAAGTTCTCAGCTGTCGGCTCCAACAAATCGGAAGTCGATCCGAGGTCCAATATAATAGTGGAGTTACGGCACTCGCAAGGTATTTTACGTACCGTTGCAAATTTTCACTTCCGCACTTGGGCGGCAATCATAGTATTTTGACATAAAGGATTCCCCTCCGTTGCGTGACAGTCCGGGCATGCATAGACCTGTGTGACGCCAGGCACAGGTCTACAGAAGAAAGGAGCGCTCTACGATGAATACTACAAAAAATACCATGGATCTTAGCGAATTGTCTCAATTTCCCATTGCGTGCGTCATTGTCCCTGATGAAGGGAAACTAAAGTTGTGGTCCGAACAGCTTTATTTTTGTAATGCGTACGGCGATTTTCCAGAACGAATTTGGCAGCTATTGAATCCGATTGGGGTATGGCAAGATGTTGAAAAACCCGTATTGTGCTCGCCTTGGATAGATAAGGCGAGCGACTTTTTTTTTGGGGGGGGGGGGAGGGCGGTGGGGACTGCTCTCCCACCACTCTCCTTGAGAGGATAGCGAGAGTGATTGTTCACTCTCCTGGATTTTTCTTACACGAAGGTCTGTACATGTATGAGCATTCCAGTTTGTTTGTCTTTTTCGTGTTTCACTTGAAACTCTCCCATTTACTGAGCACTGGCAAGATGAAACCTGTGTACGCCCAAGGGGCCTTACGAAGGTGGTCCCTGTGCACCGGTACGGGGGTCTTCTTATCCATGGTCATTTGACTGGAAATAACATTTCTTGGTCCTACTTCAAGTAGTTGTAGTGGTTCTCTAGGACAGGTGGTCGCCTTATCAGAGTGTCACCTTGACCGGGTTTTACTTTGTTTATGAGTCTGAATTTGTGTACTTCTCGAAGTATCTTTAAACTTTTACATAATGTTGTGCTTTCTTTCCTTTTGTCTTCATTGTTGGTAGTGTCTTCCCCTGGTAATTGTATGTTATGTCGGTGTGTTGGGTTTGTTACACTTTCCTCAGGAGTATAGCTCACTGCTTCCGCACCATTCTCAAAGAAGAAGGTGGCTTCATGTCCGGTGCGCTGTATCGCGGAATTGGGCCAACCCTGTCCGGCATTGCGCCGTACGTCGGCATCAACTTTGCCGTGTACGAGACGATAAAGAGCTACGTGATTGTGGCGTACCTGCCGCCGTCGTTCACCTACCAGCACGGCTCCGTGTCGGTGTCCGTGGCGGATGCCTATCTGCCCGCGTACGTCAAGCTGGCGTGCGGTTGCTTGTCCGGCGCCACGGCGCAGAGTCTAACCTACCCGCTGGACGTGCTGCGGCGGAGAATGCAGATGAAGGGCTTCAACCATCACTTCGCCTACAAGAACTCATTCCACGCCATCCGCATCATCCTGCGCACAGAAGGTGTGCGCGGTATGTACAAGGGTTTCTGGCCCAACTTGGTTAAGGTAAGTAGTTCTCACAGCATATCTGTACACGGAAGTTTTACTCTATAAACTTTATTAAGCACGTAGCCATTATCTGCATTACACTGCAGGGGCGTCGGACACACTTTTTGGCCAAATTACCCTGTGAATCAATACAAAATACACTGATCTGGGCTCTAAATTTCCAAACTTTTCGGCTCAATCACCCTCCTCCACGAATAAATTGTACTTGAGGTGGCTGACCGTACCACACTAAAATACCTTCCAACGCCCCTGCACTGGCATGAACTTCTTGGTTGTTGCCTACTTTCCTGTTGAAGTGACCAGCACATCTTGAATGAAATGAAGTGGAAGGAGAGATGCACTTTCTCTCCACTGTGTGGTGTGTTGGTTGATGATGAGTCACTTACTGTTATACATACGGTGTTAAATAGCAATGAAAAATATCAATTGTGCACTCATAATCATGTATAAACAATTAAAATGAAACAATTCCAGAACGTTTTCGTGTGACCATCATCAGTGGAACATCGTCACATAGTAAGAATAACTAAAACAACCAGTTATATAGCTAGAGTAACATGAAAAGAAGCGTGAGAATGCAGCACAGCTAGCGGTTATGCATAACGCGTGTAGTGTGAACCTTTGCAGTGTATCTGAGAATGAGAATTTTTAAATAATACGCACTCACCAGTTTTTGTTCACACGCACTCACAGCTGCCACATTCATCTACTGCTACCATTCTCAGATACACTGCAAAGGTTCACACTACACGCGTTATGCATAACCGCTAGCTGTGCTGCATTCTCACGCTTCTTTTCATGTTACTCTAGCTATATAACTGGTTGTTTTAGTTATTCTTACTATGTGACGATGTTCCACTGATGATGGTCACACGAAAACGTTCTGGAATTGTTTCATTTTAATTGTTTATACATGATTATGAGTGCACAATTGATATTTTTCATTGCTATTTTACGACTGTTGTCTCCTCGTCGGTTATTTACATACGGTGTTATTAATACTTTTTTTTTAGTAATACTCATTCCTGCTTCTTTGTTGTTGTTGTTGTTGTTGGTGGTGGTGGTGGTGGTGGTGGTGGTGGTGGTTGTAGTGGTGGTGGTGGTGGTGGTGGTGGTGGTGGTGGTGGTGGTTGTAGTGGTGGTGGTGGTGGTGGTGGTGGTGGTGGTGGTGGTGGTGGTGGTGGTGGTGTGCGTGCGTGCGTGCGTGCGTCTGTCTGTCTGTGTATGTATATGTATGTATATGTGTATCTATGTCTGTTGGACAGGTTGCGCCGGCCATGGGCATGAACTTCTTGACGTACGAATTTGTCAAGGCTCGCTTCAGCGGTGTGCCCCTCGGCCTTCGTTGGAGGGAAGGCAGCTGACTTTAACCACCTGTCACTGTATGTGTCGCTTCTTCGCTGCCTGATTGCAGTCGGAAAGCCTTGAACTTGCAACGCGTCCGTTCTTGTTGCATTAGTCCCAGCGCCCTTGCCGCTGCCTGTATGCTGCAGCAGAGGGCAGGTTCACTTGAGGCAGATTCTCTCGTTGGAATATTAACTTATAATTGTGTTCTGGGTCAATGTGCCGCTTATAACCACTGAATAGGATTTTTTAAATTGTGGCTGCACCCCGGAACTAGGCCTTGACCTCTGGTCAGTTTGAGTTGGTATTCTCTTGTAGTATTTCTATTAGTGTTTTAGTGCTTTGTACTGTCCCAAGAGTTAGCCATTCTTCTCTCAAATGCAGGCTCTGAAGTTCCAGTTTCTGCTTCCTCAAAGAGCAGTGTATGCTGAGAAAATCTTTATCATGAACTAGCGATCTCTCTTTGGCGTGAACCAGCATTAGGAACCTCTCCGTACAAGTCAAGGTTTGTTAGTGGATGAGAATGCAACATGCCTCACTCCCAAAGAAGAATTATAATTTGATGCTGAGTGCTTGATCCTTGTAGTGAAGTGTCGTAACACTGTGACTGCTTGATGGTGAGTTGGAAGAGGCTGGAAGAATACCCAAGTGGACGTGGAGAGTTAGTGCACATGTATACACGGCTCTCTGCTGTGTTCCTGCATGACTGGTCTAGATCGTATCTCAGCCGACCGTGTTTCGGCATGCAGAGTGACCAATAACTAATTACTTGAATGGTTCACTTGGTGTTTCTCGGACCCTGTGCTGGCAATGGCTTATTTGCGGAGAGCAACCGTGACAGCTCCAGCCTCAGCTTTCTGTTATGGTCTCTCGCATGTTGCCATTTATGGTCTCTCCTGTCCCCTTGGAAAAACGCGATTCCGCGGCCGCGGCAAATTTCGCAGAAAATGCCATCATCCGCGGAAATCACGGAATCCACACTTTTGCCCGCGGAATCTGAATTTTTAGGGTAAATTACTAAAATTACTACTCAGAAAGCAGCAGAAAAACTACTTTGCGATCTGTTTGAGCACATTTCTCTTGCCAGTGCAGGTCTCTCCAAGATTCTTCACTCTTATTCAGTTTGTGACTGCAAAGGATAGTATGAAAAGTGCTCCTTCATGCGACTAGTTGTCATATCCTCTACGAGGAGGGTGAAAAACTTGCAGAAAGTGCCGCAGATTTTTGATTTTACCGCAGAAAATGCCGCAGAAAACCCCCCTTTTCCCCGCGGAATTTGCCGCGGAATTTTGAATTCTTCGCCGCGTTTTTCCAAAGGGACAGTCTCTCGCATGTTGCCATTCCCGTGTGAGCGCTGGCGCAGGGGCGGATCCAGAGATCTCTACAGGGGGGTTCCGGTTGAACCAAAATTGAACAGGCAAAATATTATGGAATCAGATTGTTTTGAAGTTGTGCGGTTGACACATGTAATTACGACAATCCGATTGTGTGTGGCAATCGCATGCTTTTAAAACACATTACGGACATATATTTTTCCATCATCGACCACACCATAACTGCACCCTCCAGCCGGCCTTGACACGTAACGTTGCCACAGCACACCACCATCGCTGGAGGGCGCAGTTGTGGTGTGGTGGACGATGGAAAGCCTGTACAGGGCCAAATGCTGCTGCTTACCCTACATTGTATAATTATTATTTAGTACGGACACATAATCATAATTATACTTGAGTACATGTATTCTTCTTCTTCTTCGGTAACTACAAGTCATAATAAATATGAAAATGACTGTGAGAATAGAGTGTACATGTAGTAGAAACTTAGATCAGTTTCTCCAGTTGCAAGAACTGGATAGCTTCTGATGGTTGTGTGAGAATTGCCTCCCTGACTGACTGACGTGAAGGTACATAGACGTGTACATGCTCGACTGCTGTGTCTGGCAGGGCAAGCTAGCAGGAGGTGGGCAGCATCATCAACTGTTCCAGGACAGTGAGTGCAATCGGGTGAAGGTGCCGCCTCAATCTGGAACAAGTACTTGTTCAGCAGGCTGCAGTGGCCAGTGAGGAGCTGATTGAGGATGGTGGTCTCATGCCGGGACAGAGGGCTGCGGAACTTGCTGGTGTTGATTACATGTATGCAATCGACTGCCGGGCACACAGGCCAGTGAGGGCTTGAAGACCCTTTCAACTAACTTCTTGTAAATATCGAATGTGCAAGCCATGGGTACGTTGAGAGCCAGCAATGCCGAAATGACAACTACCGTAAAGTCGCGGATAAAAGCCGGGCTTTAACCCTTTATTGGCCGATTAAAATACAAACAAGCCCACGCAATCGCCAAACCTCAGTGTACCTAAATTGGACGTAACTTTAATTTGCATTGGACAAATTCCACGATCTTGGGCATCCTGGAAAGGCCTTGGCGAGAGGAGCGCAATGAGCGCACACTCGACTCCATGGGATGCACTGGCCCAGCACTGCAAGCCAGGGAAGGCCCACCAGCGCTGGGCCCACGCTCGAGATCTATCTCTATCCACCATTTCATTCCTGTTGCTCGTATCAAACTCAAAATTTTTCGTAGAGACTCCCCGGAACCTGCTTTTGAAGTTGAACCGGTGTAGCCTTGTAAGCAGGTGACGTAAGCAGGGAAAATCCCGGCCGTTGACCCGCGCATCGCGCTCAGAGCACAAATTTCCCGGGACCAACATTACGAGTGCTATAACTCAAGAACCGCTCTTTGTATCCCTTTGAAAATTGTTCGAGGCGATAGCTGAGAGTTTTCTCTTCGACCTACATATTTCGATCTCTCCGAAAGACCGAGATTTGATCAAGTTACGATAATTTCAAAATGCCTACCCCATCGAACATCGGTGTTCGATCAATGTATAGGCCAGCCAATAAAGGGTTATGCACATAAGCCGCTTTCTTCATCAGGCTTCAATGCAAACCAGGCTTGTATCCAAACCATGCTTATAATGCACCACTGATATTTTTGACAGGCTTGTATGCACATCGGCCGATCCGGGCTTGCATAGAAGCCAGGCTTCTACGCGCGACACGCGTACATGCATGTAGATCTACCACTGACTATCGCATATCGCCGCGGCAGTTTTACTATGCACTGAGTCTGTACATAGCGCATGCACTCTTGACCTACCCGATCCGCGCTTGCATAGAAGCCAGGCTTCTACGCGCGACAGGCTTATGCATTGACCCGTTTGATTTTCAGGCTTCTATCCGCGATGTGCTTGTATGCTTGTATGCAAACCCGGCTTTTATCCGCGACTTTACGGTAAGTTACTTTCCCTGTCCATTTGTACTTTCGGAAATTTTTGGTATTTTTACGATCCGAAATGCTCTATAGTCACAGAACAAGAGCATCGTCTTCACTCAGTGACAGAAACAACAACAGCGAAACAGTGTCGACAATTGCACAATCCTTCCAATGTCATCTAAAACACATCGCTGGCGCAGCACTCCGTTCCTGCGGAGGAACAACTAGTCACTACTGCATGCTGCAGCAGGTATAGATTACTGACTTTGCTTGGATGTCGGAGTCCTCATCTTCTGAGGAGCTTGAACTCTACGTGTACGATTCGAAGTTTGTTGAAGAGTGTCATCACTCGGAACATCCTTTTCTCTTCTGCAAAAAACTTGTCCAAGGAATACTGACCGCACCCATCCTGAGCAGCAGTGAATGGCAGCGCCAATGGAGGTAAGTTTGGATCGTTTCGAAAGATCAAAAAGGAAACAACCACCCAATGTTGTCTACAGACAGTGTCCGTTTGTAAATCACGGACGTATACGGACGTGAACACCAGTACAGACTACTACCGGCACATGTATACATGCAGTATCGATCTACCGAACGCGCATGCAGTGCACTGAGTCTGTACTCCTTGACTCAGTGATAATGACTGCACTGACTGTGATCGGACGGACGTCCTTTAGTTAGTTTTGTGCACACATGATATTTTTCGATATTTCTCAGCACCACACTTTGCAAAATTTAGGGGGTTCCATGGAACCCCCGGAACCCCCCCCTGGATCCGCCACTGTGGCGTCGCCATCATGGCTGACACTGTGCCTGGTGCCTTTACTCGACAACGGAGCAGATGGTCTCTGTGCGGTTGCCGCATCCGCAACCGGCGTCACTGTCCGTGCTTGCGATGTCTCTACAGTTGGGCATCACATGTACTACTTTGCCAACAAAATTCCATTTCCGCTGACATCAGTCCCGTAGTGCAAGACACCCAGGAATGGTCTCTCGCTGATTGCGTCCCCTGTGCTCGCTCTCCCATCTGCCCCATTGTCTAGTGAAGCACCTGGCACAATGGAAACCATGGCGACTGGCAACATGCGACAGACATCAACGAAGTTAAGGCTGGAGCTCACGGGTTCGCTCTGGTCGTATGAACCATCACCAGCACAGTGGTGTGATTACGTGCATGGCTGTGCCGCCAGCAGCCAACCCAACACCAAAAGAATCTTTTATTCATAGTAGAGTCTTCCAGGTACGGGTACTGTTCTGGACTGCATGTGATCAGGTTTCCTTGAGCAGTGCTGCACGTGCATAAACACCACTCAACAGCCAAGCTGCTCAGAGTCATCGTGCATGCCATACCGTAATACCCAAAGAATAGCGGGAACACTGAACAGGTCATGTAGCCACCAACATTTGTCTTCACCCTGCAGACAGCTCACCATTCAGCACCACTGTGACCAGCACGACGGGCAGCACTGCAATCACCAGTCTTGCCACTGCCCCCACCGCTAACACCACCGGCACAACAAACTCCGCAGCAGCACATGGCAATCACCCAGAGAGGTTTTCGATGGCTCAAAAACTTGGCCAATGAGTCACTACGCAGTATCGAGAGTCGGATACAAACATGAACAGAACACACCTATGTTGGAATAAGCATCTGAGTAATCTAGATCAGTATGCAGCAGCACAGAAACAGCCACGGAGGAATTCGACCTGTTGTAGACAGGAGATTACTAGAGTGCAATAACAGACACGAACACGTTGAGAGAAAAGATGACAACAAAGATGGCAGACGAGGCCGTCCTCACACTTCTAATGCCCTCTTGTCAGCCATGTACTCATGACCTGGGCATCATGAACCGATAGAACTGGGCAAAACGGGGTAAAAACTAGTGCTGCACAGAGGGTACAAGAGCATATGTTTCCTTTAATAAAAATTCTTAAGCCTCGGCAATGGACCAGGCCTATACTTCAGAATAGGGTTGCTTTTGGACCATTCCTATAAAAAGATGAAGCAATTCGTTTTCTATTCTATAGTCAAGCAGCCTGGCAAAGGGCGAGAGAAGAATAAAAGCGAAGAGAAATTTAAATCGATGAAGGGTTGATTATAGTATTGACGGCTGATTGGTGAGGCGTTGGTAGTGCGGGAGTACATGTGACGCTGGTACCAGCAACGTGAACTGCAGAGACACAAGCACGGGCACCTCGGCCGCCAGCAGAGTCTTACGACTGAGCTTGAAACGCTCCACAAGCACCTGCACGACAATAATCAGAACAAGAAGAACACAACACCACAACCACCACACAAACCGGTGTTAGCACTGTGATACAAAACAATCTTGAGTGCCACCACATCACACGAGGTGAGGAGTTATGAGAGAGAGGGAGAGAGAGAGAGAGAGAGAGAGAGAGAGAGAGAGAGAGAGAGAGAGAGGGAGAGGGAGAGACACACACACAGAAAAAGTGAGAGGGGGGGGGGGGCACTTACATCGATAATAGACTTCACTTCACGTGTGGCATCGCTGAATTTTGCCGCCAGCAGCATACAAACAGCTGTTAGGGAGCGAGATTGCCAGAGAAAGGGAAAAAAACAAAGTTATTAGTAGGTGAGCGACACAACCATCATCGGTCAGCAGGAGAAAATAAACTTTTTAAACAACTTCAAAAGCAGAACACAAACATCCAATCTGCTGCAGCACACTACCAGCTACAGTACTGAATGCAGGCGTTGAACAACACAAACGAGCAATGTAACACTGTGGAACGCCAGGAAACGCAGAACCGTATCGCACTCACCAGCCAAGTATTTTCGATTCGTCTTGTTGATTTTACCCTGCAAAGCACGCACAGTAAGGAGAGACATAGAACGCCAGGACAAAATGGATCCAACCAACAGCAACTATGACATTTCACCTAGACTACGGGGGGGTTACCGTAAAACACAATTCTCATCAACATTGTATAATATAGTTGCCGAGAAAACTAAATCGAAATCGAAATAAAAAGTCTTCCAAAGCATGCACAGTGAATGGCCAGGCAGGCAAAGTATCCAATGACAAGCCACGTACTCGCTTTCTCATGGCAGGTAGAGAGAGAGAGAGAGAGAGAGAGAGAGAGAGAGAGAGAGAGAGAGAGAGAGAGAGAGAGAGAGAGAGCTACGAAGTAGACGGGCTTACCAGTAAAATCAACTTCTCAAAGTAAACGTAAGCCAGAGCGACAGCACCGACATCCAGGTTGAGCTGTGTGTGCACAAAGGTAACATGTAAGCTACGGTTACATGTACAGTTAGTCAGTTACACTCGGTGAAATCCCACCCAAAGTGCATGTTCGGCGCCCTCAACTTTCACGAGCCCTCAACGCCCTGAAAGCAGCACAAATGCGGCTGGACGTACAAGTAGTAAGCAGTGTGAGGGTCCTGTCTCAGGTACATGCCTAAAAATGGGGTACTATTGAAAATGGGGTACTAATAGTACCCCATTTTTGCGTTGAAAATTATTTTTGGCCCGTTTTTTTGCGGATGAAAAAAATGTTGGTTTGGGTCTTAGGACCCCATTTTATGGGTCCCGACCTTTTTTTTAGTGAAAAATATTTTTGGCCCTTTTTTTTTGCGTATAAAAATAATGTTGCGACTGTTATTTTGCACTCCCTTTTTTTTTTTTGGTCATCAGTCTAAATTATCTTGACATCATGACGATGCGGGCAAAATTTACCTTTTTTTTTGGATTATCTATTCAAGTATAAAAGGTGTGTGCTTGAATGATGATCCAGTCAGTTTCAAGTTGTGGTGCAGTGAAAATGGATTCTGAATTTCAGATCCTGTATGCTTATGTACGTTCAAAGAAGCAATGTGCGCTGGAGGAAAAGAAGAAGAAGAAGGAGGAGGAAAGTGACGGTGAAGAAGTGTGTTATCATCGTGAAGAACAAGTTGAGCATGCTGGTCATAGAGTTTGTTCTCAGTGTGGATTGGTAATGGCTGATATTTACATGCCCGAGGTAAAGTGGAGAGAGCGTTGTACTACCATAAAGACCTACACGGATTCCGATCGCATTGCAGGTGTGAATCGTCACCTTGTACATTTTCTCAACAAGATAGACTTCACGTTACCACATACACAGTTTCACCCTGTTCAAGAGGCATTGCAAGCGATGAAGAAGGCCAGTAGCTATAAAAGTATGAACTACGCAATAGTCTTATCCTGTATACTTCATGAGGATCATGATGCAGTGCGTACACTGCATTCTTCTTTACCGCGCAGTAATGTGTCATGGTTGAGAAGCAGTCGCATTACACAACCTCTTCCATCATGTTTTCCACTGTTCTTTCTTCTGCATCTCATGGAAAACATCAAGGGTCCTCTGTCCGCTAGACAGCTAAACACTCTGAAAGTTAATTTGTCCTTGATGTCACCTGCAGACCTTAGGCTGCAACCACACTAGGTACAAAATCACGTACAAACGGCATTACAGTAGAAATCGTCATGCCGACGCGTGCGAAATGCAAAATGCGCTTTGTAGGTTTTCAGCAACTGGCGCACCCCTGTAGAAAGCCACGTTTGTCGTTTTCGCGCTCCTTCTCCTGTGTACAACTTAAATTGTGTACCGGGTCATCGTACATAGCATCAGCACCAGCATTGTTTTTGAATTTCCCGGTCTTTTCCAGCGCATGGCACACGCTTTGGTACGACAACGTCACGTGCTGGTCGCGTGAAAACGTCATCTATGCAGACTGAAAAGTGTAGTGTGGTTGCGTACCGACTTGCACTGAGATATGCATGAAAATTTGTACTGTGATTTTTACGTAGTGTGGTTGCGGCCTTAGGCCCTCTTCAGACTAGGTACAAAACAGCCTATAAGTCACATTTACATAGAAGTTTCCAGGACAACAACAAGAATCTGGCGGGAAGCCTAAAAAGCTGCCCAATCCTTTCAGGCAGGGTGCCAACCCTTGTACAAGGCAACTTTCCTGCATTTATCGTACTTTCACCAGGCAGTTGTACGAACTTTGTACCCGGGTACGACTGTCCGCTGCTTTTACACATCCCAGGCCCCTTGCGCAATTTCGTAGGGTCAAAGGTTGCCTGTATATTGCATGTAAAATGTGTAGTCTGAATGCAGGCATGGAAAAATGTTGCCTTTTAGGTTTTATGTGATTTTGTACTGGATTATCTATGTACGTAGTCTGATGAGGGCCTTACCATGATGCATCTTCTAATAGATGCTTATTGTTGGCATGACTACAGTCTAGAATATTTAGTAAATCACGTGACCTCTCTACCACCTGATCTTGCTAACATACTCTATCAATTTAGCAAGACTGCAGTGCGTCATCAATGTTAGCAACACGTCACTGTGATGGAGATGTACCCTTTTGGGGAACCTGTCCAGACATGTCCAAGACATGTTCGGACATGTACGAGACATGTTCAGACAGGTCCGGTGCAAGTCGTGCTATGATTGGTTAAATCTTATCATCTGCTCATGGCGAGCTCTGATTGGATGAATCTTGAACAATTTCAGCGTGTTCTCCAAGGTCGTCACCTCCCATAGTATGTTATTTCAACCTCACGCCGCTCAAAAGGGTATAAATGGGCAAGCACAGTCCTCCATTCGATCACAACCACCTTTGTTGTTTCACTGCTCACTGAGCCTTCTCCCTCTCTCTCTTCTCGAGTGCTCGACTGATATCACGATGGCCACTAATGCTGTTGTTGCTGGTGAAGATGTTGTGGACTGTTTGGGTATTGACCCGTTCGCTATCAAGACGATAAAGAAGTCCGGTCTCTACAAGCGTCGTGCTAGCCGTAATCCGAATCTGGAGCCTCTGCCTAAGATCAAGATGCCATCTCCTCGTCCTACCATACTACCAGGTGTCGCCACCATTATTACGGATGGGGCAGCAGAGTGTGTTCAAGCAATGTACAGCAAGACCGCTCACGACTATCATGTTGCTCCTGACACCGATTTCTACTATACGCGCGGTGATTTACCGGGCATGCTTGTCAATGGCACGGTATGTGAAGGACGCTTTGGTCAACTTAAGCTGTACGTCCAGGCTTCACAAGGCGATGTCATTCAATTCTTCCTGAAGACCTCAACACCTTTGAGACGTGCCGTGAGATCTCCGCATATCAACAGGATACGGAGTAACATCTTCCCTGCAATGTACCAAGGGAAGAGTGCGACTGCAGTGTATCTCAAGCCAACCAAGGGTATGCCCAACTTCCCGATGAACGAAGAGTGTCAGGTCTATCTGCATCCTTCAACTATATCATTCAACAGGGAGAAGTGTGAATTCAAGGCGTGGCTTTCAGCCATCCCCCTGATGCTTGTGGACTCACGTTTTTGTGAAAGGGAACACGACACCGTGCAAGACCTCCCCGAGACTGAATTGGCTCGACTGGTGATCGCATTCCTCAAGAAGTGGAGGACTGCCGACAACGTGACTGCAGACATTGCGTTTGACACTGCGGTGGTGGCGGCAGCATCAGCGCCTCTCCCGGACACCCTACCGGACAATTCACTGGATTTGAACCTGTTCAGTGTTCAGAATATCATCCCACATTGATTGATCATTATATCCTAAACCTTTCATTTTAATGCTCTCTCTCTTGCTAACATATCATCGCTTCATTAGATTACCGCTAGCATGTATACACAGACACACACATGAGTATCATGAAGATTTATTTGAGAAATAAAATAATTTCCCCTTATAATTAGAACAGTGTGTCTGTGTGAAGATGGCGCACTGGGCTACGCATTTCCATAGGAGTGATGGGGATGAGGCCTCCCTCAAGCTCATGCAAAGCATGCGGAATGACATGCCGAGATGCAATCGGTTGTGGGGAACGATGACACCGAAAACACCTTGGTTCATGATGTGGAGAAACTGAAAGAGGTGAAAGCCGATAAGAGCCAAGTGGAAGATGTTGAAAGCAGATCTACGCGCTACACAGATCAAGCCATAGCAGCTGATGAGCTGCACGTGAAAACAGATGGATCCGTGACCATGGATGCTAACCTTGACATGAATCAGCACTCCATCTGTAATGTAACGTTAGACTATAGTAACTCTTTGTCATGTGCTGCTCCTGCTGGATGGGTGAGGAACGAAATCCAGCAAGCATCATCGAGATTGCAAAATGGTATGGACGCTGTGCGCAAGATGAAAGGACCTCGTGGTGATCGGGGATTGGGATGGCTTCGCGGAACGTGATTGACTTCGAAGAGTTATCGAGCGCGGACAGCGGTATGTTGATACACATTAAGAACGGCAAGACAGAGATGTTCACGTACTTCAATGCTCTACTACGAAATGAGCTTCAGACACTCATAACCACCAACGGTGAAAAGATGTCAGTTGGCAACTTCGTACGGCTCATCATGACGATTAATGACAACATATTTATTCGAAATGACTCAGGGAAGATATTCACAAGCCCAGCTGTGCGACTCCGTGTCCACGCCAGAAGACGATTCAACATTCAGATAAAGGTAGAGTTCGACGAGGAGTCTAATTCTTCTAACAGCGCCACGTCGGTCTATGCCCGGAAGAGGCCCAGAGAGGTGGATGATATCGACTCGGAATGAATGATAAAAATTCAAACGGTATGCTTCTCTCTCTCTCTCTCTCTCTCTCTCTCTCTCTCTCTCTCTCTCTCTCTCTCTCTCTCTCTCTCTCTCTCTCTCTCTCTCTCTCTCTCTCTCTCTCTACTACTACTATCAATATAGATCTGATGTCAATCGTAGGGTACATTGTTTCACATAGTATAGAATTCAATAATAATAATAATTTAGAAGTCAATCGTATGTTTCATTAGTGTTCACCTCGCTGGGTGGATAGGATTTTCTTTTTTTCTCATTTATTATAATGTATCTAGCTCCGTCGCAATATTTAGTATCTATCGCTGACAAATTATTACAAGATGTCTTCACAATAATATAATCGTGCTTCACTAAACTGCAATTTCAAAACAACTCGAACGTCTTACCTTGTGTCTGAGAGTTGTGCGACGCGCGGGTCTGCTTCTCCATGTCTGCTCGTTTCTCTAACTACCTATCTATACCTCGCTTCCAGAACGCAATAGCGTATCAATAACATAGTGAAGCAAATCAACTCTTCCTTTGAACTGCATGATTATTATGATGCTCGATAATAATAGCACCAACACAGCATCACACAAAACATTTTGCACGTGCATACACATTTATATAGTCTGAAAAAAGTTTGCCCGGCGCGAGGCATCGTCATCATGACGTTAGATAATCAGACTGAGGACCAAAAAGAGGTATAAAAATAACAAGGACAACATTACCTTTATACACAAAGAAATGGGGCCAAAAATAATTTTCACTAAAAAAAAGGTCGGGACCCATAAAATGGGGTCCTAAGACCCAAACCAACATTTTTTTCATCCGCAAAAAAACCGGGCCAAAAATAAATTTCAAAGCAAAAATGGGGTACTATTAGTACCCCATTTTTAGGCATGTACCTGAGACAGGACCCTCACACTGCTTACTACTCGTACACGTGTACACATGTCTTACAGTATTGGCTTGTTGTAACGCGTCACAGTATTGGCTTGTTGTAACGCGTCACAGTATTGGCTTGTTGTAACGCGTCACAGGATGAATGAAGCATTATGCTAAGCAGCATCTGTGCATCGTCCAATGCAGACATCAATCACACTCAGCCACTTACTCTGTCATCCCGCGAACAGTCCAGCATATTATTCTTCAAGCTGTGTTGGACAACAACAACAACAACACCAACACCACCAACAACAACACAGTACACATGCACAGACAAAAGAACAAGCAGTTGTTTTTTTTGTAACTCTGAGTTTCACGAACTGAATCGATCATCAGACGAAAATAGTTACTGACCCTGCCCTGAGAGTACTGGTATATACAGCTGTACCATGAATGTAGCAAGCCCAGTGTAACAATTACCATGTGATATGTAGCGCGATATGGAGTGTGTGAGAAAGTGCTAGTTATCTGTGCATTGCTACACAACATCATACACATGCACAATCATACATGTTTGACGACACGGAGTGATGGCAAAAAGTCATGATGGGATACCACCAATCAGCATTGAAAGTAGCTCGAATACACAGAACGAACATGAACCAATGTCAGTTTGCTGGTTTACCTTCGCAACTTGGTCAACGTTATCTGGATCAGCGGAAACTTCTCCTGGAACCTTTCGTTCACGGCTTTCTTGATTGCCGAGTCTCGGGCATATTCCAACAAGGACACCTACAGCACAGCATGAAGACAATCACGTGACTGCAGAATCAACTCACATTGCTGCCACATCACTACATCAACAACACATCAGGTCACTGCCTAGCCAGACCATCAGATGTACTGCGAGGTAAGAAACATCAGCTGCATAGCAAGCATGCCTAACAAAGCCTGGCTCATAGCAAACTGACAGTCCATACCATTACACGGTGAAGGCAATACTACGTGTGTACTAGTACTACAATGTAGCGGCCCAATCAAATCAGACAAAACCGCAACAGGAACTTACTGCATACGACTGCAGTGGCATGAAAGTGCAGTGTTTGCCGTGGCGCAAGTCCGGATCATCCAGCGAGTGCGGCTGATAATCGACAATGATGTTGATAGCTTCTTCTCTCAGCACGGCTATTGTCATTGCATCTACCGGACACATAACACAGCGAGAACGAGCACGGGAGTGAGAGAAGATGCCGAACACAAAGGAGAGTGGATAAAAACTATTTTTTTTTGAAGAAGTAAAGTTTGCACGTCCGTGTTACAACCGGTTATACAATTGCGTTGAGAAACACAACCAGCTTAGGAAGTTTAATATTAAAACCACTAAAAAGGACACAGAAATTATGATAACACACATCATGTCCTATACACAATTGCACCGTGTCCATAATGAACTCAAATTCACCAAGACATTCACGTGCAGGTGCATGACTGTGCAGCAACCATGGAGCGTACACCGTACAGGACTCACCTTCATTGTCCGGATTAGACGAGTAGAATTTCCGACAGTGCACCGGCATGACGAAATCGTCACATGCTGCCGGCTTGAGGACGAGAGAATCCAGCAATCGCTGGTAAGACACAACCTGGTTAACAACAAGCATCCAAACCAACACATAAGCAATGCATGAAATTGTCATGACTCATAGCAACACTAGCTAGCTGACCAGGGGCACCTCCATGTTGCCTGACCAGGACTCCACCACATACAGAGAGGGACCAGAAGACGATTGTATTGATGTTGGCTGAGCAGGCAAGGGCATAGCACCAAGAGAGAGAGAGAGAGAGAGAGAGAGAGAGAGAGAGAGAGAGAGAGAGAGAGAGAGAGAGAGAGAGAGAGAGAGAGAGAGAGAGAGAGAGAGAGAGAGAGAGAGAGAGAGAGAGAGAGAGAGAGAGAGACAGTAGACCGAGAGTAGACTTACCACTCCCTGGAAGTTCTCAAACACAGGCACATCTATAGACGCCAGGTCACCAGTGAGTCGATTGATTACACGTGTTGTATACTTCTCTGCACTGGACTCCAATGATCTGTGATATAGCATATGCACATGTATAAAAGAGACACATTGCTGGGATGCACATATACACATAAGGTAGTACACACAACCACGGCTTGAAGTACACCCGATACTGTCACACACACACACACACATACACACACACATACACACACACACACACACACACACACACACACACACACACACACGCACACATCGTACCTGTTCCGATCCGGGTCATATGGCTTGATGGAGTACATACAGAAGGGCAGCATGTCCCTTCCATGAAGAATAACCCTAATGGTGACCAGCACAATAGGACACACACACACACATCACAGGTAAACACACCACACATAACAGAGTCATCACACAAGAACAGCTAGAAAGACACTGTCCGCATATAATCACTGTTACGAGACGGCATGAAAAGTCAATGGTAGCCAATAGGGACCTTTCGCACAACGCGTACGGATACGAAACGAATGCTGATTCGTCGCCTGAGTTCAAGGATTTGTCAGAGTCCCTTATGAACGCTCGTTTTCACAAATGGAAGCCTCTTTCATTCGTGGATCGTTGTGATATACTAGAATATTATGTAGCAACTTGTTGACTGACGAAGCCAACCGTGAGCGTCTTGTTACCCTGTGTTCTGTAACTAGCATAACCAGCACACAACTCCCATACTGTTCACAGTTCAGTGTACCTACTGGAAGTCTACACATTTTCGGCCCATTCAAATTCCGGCCTCCCAGGGTTAAACACCCATTTCGGCCGCATCAACTTTTCGTCCTGTACTGCTGCCGCCTGTATACTCTGTCACACTGATCCTTGCAAAACAAAATTTCGGTCGCAAAAAAACATTTTTTGGCCAAACATGCCCAGGCCGAAAATAGCCGAAAATAAGTATGCGCCTAATATATGTTGACTTACAGTACATGCTCTAAAGAGGCATGTGCAAATCCAAACACAGCATGCCGGGGATCGCAATCAGCCCCATGATCTAAACCAAGACACAGTGCGAATGTAGTTAAGGCATACCTCGCGTCCAAAAGATTCGCCTCGGTTGCATTGCGCTCGTTGAAGAGCTGAATGCCGGGTGGAAGTTGACTTGCCTTTGAGCCATCACCTTGCCGAGAAAAAGCTAATGCCGAACTGACCTGCGATCGATTGCCTCCCTGCTTTTCCGGAGATGCGGTGCCTGGCCTCTTGAGTGGAGACTCCGACAATGACGCTGAACGTTTGCTATACGAGAGTCTCTGCTGCGCATGATGATTGTCAGCGGACAGCGGTGGCCGTGACGTGGACGCCTGGACGATTTCAATAGGCTTGCTGCGTGTCACCTCATGGCCTGTTGGCTTAGAAAGGTGTGCTTTGTTGGAGAGTGGGGCTGCTGAAGTTGGTGCTCCGTCTAGCTTGATACCGGTCAAGAAACTAAGAGCTGCTTGCTTCTTGGCAGCTCCTATAGGCTTTTGTAGTCTTGATTTGCCAGAGGCCATAAATTATTGCCGTGCTGCTGCTATTCATCTAGTAGATTGGGTAAGAAAGGAAAGTGTGGCTTGGCTGGAACTACCTGTCCTCTGGGTCGTGTCCAGGCGAGAGCTGATAACAGATGGGGCATACAGAACAATATGTTTCGTTCTTGCTATCCAAAATAGACTGATATTACTGCTATCTCAAAACTCTGGATATTGCCAAGCAGCTTCGATACTCAAAAGTTCGTCCTTTCAGTTGAATTAATTCAGTCTGAACAGAGAAGATTCAAGACTTGACCGAGGGGTTCTTCAGAAAAAAACTTGGAGATAGATTATTTCCGTTCGGCCAAGTCAGCGGCAATTCAAATTTACAATTCTCCCCGTCCAGCTGTCCTATCCTTTCGTCCACCGACTCTAGCTTGGGCAGTGTGTTCACGACTGGCAAGGCTCACTTTCTCTTCTCTTTTTCTTTTTTGCTTGGACTTTGACTGTGTTGAGTTGACCAGGTTGACTCGTACTAGATCTAGACTACACTCAGGAGATGTGGTGACGTAACCAATAGGCATTATGAATCGCGCATTATCATGCAATCATGCATTTCTAACGGCGTGAAAGCGCGCATATCGGATGCTGAGTCGCTAGCGCTAGCGCTGCCTGGCAAGTATTATGTGTTGTTGTGGCCTACTGACTCAAGTCACGTGCCAGCGTACCGGTAGAAAACGGGGGAGTTTCGCCTTTTGTCCTGTTTTGGTGGACAGACATGTTACACTTTTCGGTCTTTACTGTCTAATACTGACTTAGCAGTGTTTTTCGGTCTTTACTGTCTAATACTGACTTAGCAGTGTTCGTCATGCCCGGTGCTTAGTACTGCTTACCAGGCCTGGGAGCCCTACACATATTGTTCGTATGTGTAGGGCTCCGGCTCCCTGGTGCTTACCAGTGCAGAATGACCTGAATCGATGATGGAGGAGAACGGAAGGTGAACGGAGCAGCAAAAAGCGAGTTTGTGTGCCCGTGGGCCGTGGCCGTTCTCTCCCAAGCCAAGGCCAATCAGTGCAGCTTTATCGAGCCACCCTTTTTATTCTATCGCCATCATAATATTAGCAAGAGTCCATAAGTATGTAATACAACCCAACAGTACGCTTCTTCATATTTGTGCAGCTGCACTGTTGAGCTTCCGATGTAAAACAAAAATAATAATAATAATAAATGAGCCGTCAGATGAGAAAACAGACCTTATCGCAAAAACTGTACAGTGCAGAAAAGTGCACTTGAAAGTTGGCGAGTTTACCCACTGGTGCGTCTTGACAACCAAGCTACAAACCGTCGTATTTCAGTCAAATATCGGTCTTTCGGGACAATCCAAGTATGTAAATCGAAGAGAAAACTCCAAGGAATCCAATGCAGCAAGCGCGATCGCGGCACGATGCTCCGTTCCCGAGATGCGAAGCCTGCAAGATACGTCACGGCACTTTGCATTTCTACACGCGAGTCAAACGCTCCAGAGCTGGGGTTTCCCCCTTTTCAAGCGATCTACGATCTCGGCAACAGGCTGTGACGTCTTGGAAGCTCTCACTGCATCTTCACGAAAAAAATTGGGCGTCCTGGGATAATGGAGATGGAAATGGCGAGCGATTTTCGTGTGACGGCGCAAGTCTAGCGCTGAAGCGATGTCTGCAGCTTGTTGCGCTGGAGCTGTGCTTTATTTGCTATCGGATTTGGGCCCAACGGGTTGCTTGTCGCCAGAGCTTTCCAGAAAGCCCAAGTTTGTGGAAATCGGTCAAAGGAAACAGAAAATATTATCCAAAGTAGGTGAAACAATTGTTGGTATTGCACCCAAAATTGAGGTGCAATTTGTAATGGTCTCCTACTGTCGAGGCTATAACATTGCTTTCCCTGGTCCAAATCAACTCTAGTTTTCTGCATACGATTCCTGGTGCTCCTGGCAATCAGATAGTACCACAAACAAAAATATGACTTTTTTGTGATAAGGTCTGTTTTCTCATCTGACGGCTCAAATATAAACCGACATACAAACCAGGGAGTAGTACAATACCGTATTCATAATTGTACTACTCCCTGATACAAACCGAGGCGAAGCCGAGGTTTGTATGATGGCTTTCACGTACAAGCGTACTACTGCCTGGGTTGTATGCGTAGAAAAGCTGCACCGATGGTCCCCATTGGCCATCATGACACCCCCATGGCCCCAGCTGCGCGCTCCACCCGCCACCAGCAAGAGGAGCAGCACCACCTACCGTCAGTCTTGTATTCTTTGTTCGCTTCTGGATGTCTTCTTGATAATCATAAACTTAGAGATAGTGATAGCCGTGCAACAACAACAGCAGCAGCAGCAGCAGCAGCAGCAGCAGCAGCAGCAGCAGCAGCAGCAGCAGCAGCAACAGCAACAGCAACAGCAACAACAACAACAACAACAACAACAACAACAACAACAACAACAACAACGGTGTAGATGGGTGGTGAAGGCCTACCCATGGCCGCGTCGGGACATCATCAACCTCGTCTGCAGAGAGCACCTTCTCACGACAGTGTCATGGTGGTGACAATAACTCTTGTCAGCTGGCGAGCTGAGAGAGCTCGCCATGGGCAGAAGTTGGAAAAAGAAAAGAAAAAAGAGTTTAAAAAGAAAGAAGAAGAACAATTCTGAATAAAACTCGCTACTACGAGTTGATTCTTCATTATTTAATACGAAAGTAAAAAAAGCCTTCTGTAGGGTTCGAGGTGCGAATCTTTCCATTTCTTCCTCTAATATAAAAATGTAATACTGATGTCCTTAGATTGCAATGGTGGGTTGTTCATTCACATAATCCTTGGTGTCGGGAAGCTGTAAGTAAGTTTGTGATTATCAAGAAGACATCCAGAAGCGAACAAAGAACATATAGGGTACCCCGTAAGAAGGCCTTAGGCCTGTGGGAATGCCCTATTAAAAATTTAATAAATAATAATAATGTGCCGTTAAGTTTTGTTCCGCTTGATGCGCGTGAGTGTCGTCCTCGCCGTGGTCGTCCTCCAAAATGTGCTGTCCAGTCCATCGGTTGATCTTCCTCTTCCTGTGAAGATATCACTGCATGCCCGTCCTCCTCCGCGTGTATAGCGCAGGGTCCAGCTGAGAACAGCGTGAAAGATGGTGAAAGACCGACACGTAAACCACCGAAATTGACAAAGGATCTGTCTGCGTCGGGAAGGGTTACGCGAAGCCAAGTAAAAATACGGACTGGTGAGGACGCACGTACAACGACAACGGAAGTGACAACAACAGTCAATATTCGAAAACGTGGTAGACCGCGAAAACGAACCTCAATATCGAGCACCGGACAAGTTGGAGTAAGAAGATCAATAGAAATCCGCAATGGAGGAGACGTAGCTGAAAGGACACTGGGCATCGCGCACACAACGGCTGGTGTCAGAAAACGTGGAAGGCCGCGGAAAAGCAAAGAGGCGGATAGTGGTGATGCCGCGAAGAGGCGAGATGACGGGACATTGGAGGAGACTACACCCAACGGAGCTAAGAATCGCACTTCGTCCATTAAGCAACATCTGTCAGCCCGTACCAATTGTCGTGAGTTGTACAGTGATAATGTGTTCTCAATATTGTCACGTGGTAGATGTGCGTTGCATCTGGCTGTGTTAGAAGCTTTGTATATCCGTAAGTTAGATCCTGAACTTTGCGTACAGAAAGAAAATGTGTTGTCGCTACAATTGTTTGGTGTTACTCCTCGTCGAGGTGTTAACAATGTAACTTAATTTGCTCACTATGTTCTTGTCGCTATTATTATTTCCTTCGAGTTTTGTGTCGTGCTGAACTTGATACTTTTTCCACCTTGTCACGAGTGTTGTTATCTCATATCTTTACGCTATATAAGTTTTAGTCTTTCCAACTTGAGCCATTCCCTGTATAATCCTTGATGAGAAGGGACCGAAAACGTTCGGATACTTTGACAAGTGCCTTATTTTGACTGGATGTGTGTTTGCGTGGATACTTACGACCCAACACGTACCTTCGTTACTAAAGTATTATCCGCCTCCGACTTCTTGTAAAATAATAATAATATTAATAATAATACAAGACTGACAGTACGAGAAGTCTAAAACAACTCCCCTAGAATAGAGAGGGTCAGAACCGGGTCTAACACCCATACGGTTCAGATGGTCGCAACCGACCGGGCCTCTGCCAACCGTGGATCATGGTGCTGTCAACCAACCACCTTGAACATGTACGACCAAGAGTACATAACCCCCGGGGGGGGGGGGGTTACATGTATGTACTCTTGGTACGACTCGAGCATGTATCATCTTTCCACCCCCCCCCCCCCCCTACAATGTACTACCCCGGTCAGTACTCTTCCTCTCCCCTCCCCCTAGCCCTGTGTCTACTCCTTCCCACTTTTTGGTGCACTGAAGTGTCGCTGAAGCCGAGACCTGGCTCAGGCTCAGGTCATCATGGCCATCGGAGATGCTCCAGTTTTCACCACCACACACAGCTGCGACTGCAGCCACCTAGTAGTAGTAGCCTCGGACCTAGTAAGGCTCCATCAAGACAGTACGAGTATCATGCAGTTCTCGAAGTTCGTGGTTTCTCGTAAAAAAATAAAAATAGAAAAGTCACCCCAGGTACTCATGACATGAGTGACATTGGAATCGATAATTCAGGTGACCCAAACAAATTACTTGTTCGCTGTCGCGTGTGAACGAGATATCTTTGTGCCGGAGCGTAGAAGCGAACGATTGTCACAATGCATGGTCTCTCGCTGGCCTGCCCGAGTCCCGGTCGAGGTAAGAGCTGGCCAATTGGCAAATGGAAGTGGAGCTGCTAGTGGTGGTCAGGGGACTGGGCAGCAGAGAGAACGTTATTGCAGGACCAACGACGCATCACGAGATGCAAGCATCACGTGGAAGTCACTTCGCCAGCAGAGCTACACTGTCTGTACCAGGCAGTGCATTACCGCCGCATGGATTCAACGCTCTTCTTGCATTGGGGTCGTGACAAGTAACGAGTCACGACGATGGATGATGGAGTGACTGTGGGTCGATGCTGCATCACGCCGTTATCCCGACTGACTGTAGCTGGACAACAGAATGGCACGCATCACGACTAAACCCCTAGCCCTGCTACCTCCCGCTTCAGGTGGCGATGCTTGGACACTGCATGGATGAAAACCATAGTGGATGCTGAAACACAAACCAGTTCACCGATCACCTTGCTGTTGTGTCGAGTAACAAGAAGAAGGTGAACCATTGAATTATACTAGTGAAAGAGGGCAGCTGCCTGAGAATGTGGACCCAAGTGGTAATCCTGGCTGCTGTGTCAGCCCTGGCTGCATCACAGACACCATGTGGTAAGTAGACCTACCTACACAATCATGACCTGCTATGGTCATAGTTAATACAGTATACTAGTAGACCTACGCTGGTGCATGTAGATCTGCATTGTAAACATGTGTCAGTGTCACGGTTGCAGTGAGTCTACAGTCATTGTGCTCACTGCTGCACTGATGATGTCACGGCTGTGATTGTGGAAAATGCACTAAGTGTTTACTTGCACTGCCCCCCCCCCCCCCCCCCGATGAATGATCAGTGACATCAATTCTACAACACACTACACAGTCATAGTTCTCACTTTCAGGCTGTAGTGTACATGCATGATCTTTATAGATGTAGCCTCTTATACGGTTTTTGCTTTTCATGAACATCTACACGTGGCAAGCATACACACGCACACACACACACACACACACACACACACACACACACACACACTACTACTACTACTACTATAGCATGACTGCCCATTGGGCAATGTCACCCCCGGAGGGGGCCAGAGTTTGGAGTGCACCGTCATTGGCAGGACTTCTGGTGCCTCGTCAAATCTTGCTGTCGTCGGAAACGTTTCGGGCAATGCATGCAGATCAGCGGCAGTGATTCCCTATCGGCTGCAGCAAGACGTTTTCCACGGTTGCAGTTATGGCGGTTAAAACCAGCCCGGGACTTGAAGCAGCGATTGCAGCGTTGACAATGCTGGAAGCAGCAACTAGCGAGAGACGCCGTCAATGCCGTATCTGCATGTTCAGGGAGTGCAGGCTGGCAGCGATGAACTGCAAGCCCACCCTTACTACGGAACCATCGGCAGCAACTGACGCACTGTGCTGAACCCCGCTGTTGGTGGACGGGAAGTTGGCGCTCAGCCAAACACTTGTGCCGTGCCTTGTCTTGAGGACGAGAGAAAGCCCGGTTGCAAGATGAGCAGAGTACGGATTTCTCTACTGCCCGAGGAGGCTGAAAAACCAGAACCTGCTCTCGCCAAGCTGACCGGTCTTGTGCGCAATCAAACCAGTTTGGAATGGACTTCGTGTCAGTAGCCACAACGTCTCTCCACCTACGCCTGGGACCGCAGAAGGGGCGCGCAGCCAACAAACGACCAAACAACAGCTGCAATGGGACACGGTCCTCCGACATCCGAGCCACATGACCAAGCCACTCTAAACGACGATGGCGCATCTTAACAGAGAGAGTGGCACTGGGTCACCCCAGTGACGACGTAACTGCGCAGACGTGATGCGATCGGATTGCTGCTGACTGCGAGGGATGGCTAATATTGTGCGGATGCAGCGATGATGAAAGGCATCCAAACGTCTACTATCAGCTTTCAAGGGCGTCCAACAGTCACTGCCGTACAGCAAAATGGACAAGACACAGGCCACGTATAGCTTTCGCTTACTGACTAATGACAGCGAGCGATCCGACAAGACTGGAAGAAGAGCTCCAAAGGCTTTGGAAGCCTCAGCTATGCGGCGACTGACGTCAGTAGAGGAGCGGGCATCCGGTGTCACGACGGACCCCAGATAAATGAAGGATGGAACGTGCTCCACAGTATCACCGTTGACGTTCATATCGGCTCTATCAGGCATGTTGACTTGGCTACCTGCCACGAGAAATTTCGTTTTAGCAGCGTTGACGCAGAGGCCAAAGGAAGAGGCAACCGTGCAGAATGTTTCAAGGCACTTCTCAGCACCAGGGCGGTCTTCAGCGAGCAAGACCGCGTCATCTGCGTACTCAATGTCGTTGATGATTGCGGCAGTAGACTGGCGAGCGGGCTTTGAGAAAAGGTTGCCATTGATGCTAAATTGGATGGGGATGCCAGGTGGATGGTCGCTGTCCTGCATCACTTGTGCCCACCGCTCAAGCACAACACCGAAGTACAGATTAAAAAGTACTGGGGCCATCACACAGCCTTGACGGAGGCCATTGTTGACCGCAAACGGCTCGGTAGTGCTGGCACCGACGCGCACAGCTGCCTGCATGCTCTCGTGGAACGATTGGATTAGATTGAGGAGCCCTTCAGGAATGCCTAGCCTCCCCAATGCTAGCCAGAGTGCTTGGCGTGGTACGGAATCGTATGCTTTCTTCAGGTCTACGAAGACACAGAACAGCTTCTGACGGTGCTCGTACGATTTCTCGATGAGCTGGCGAATGGAAAAGATGGCATCAGCGCAGCCGCGACCAGGGCGAAAGCCACACTGGGATTCTGGAAGTTCTTGTTCCGCGACAAGTTGGAGACGGTCCTGAATGAGACGGCCACAAACCTTGCCAGCGACATCTAGGAGGGCAATGCCGCGCCAGTTGTTGCAGTTGGTCAAGTCACCCTTTTTGGGAATCGGGACGAGTTGGGCATCCCGCCAATCCTGGGGAACCGTTCCGTTGGTCCATGCAGTGTGAATAACATCACACACACACACACACATTTGCGTGCATGCGGTGTGCACAGACACACACTGTGACACATGCATACATACACACACACACACGCGCGCACACGTGTGTGCTTACGTGCGTGCTCATCTGACATAGACATGAGGCATAGACTTACTTAGGAGACTGGAGTTGACCAAAGCTGCCCTCCCCCCCCCCCCCCCTCCTTCTCTGGCCCTCAACCACCTCCTCAGTGACCACGAACAGGCTAAATCACAGTATGAACTACTCTGCCATGTGCTGTTTACATGTGAATATGAACATAATAGATTCGCCAGCCCAGTGGGACGCACACGTGCACATGTTCGATCCGGACCAGGGTCATGAATTCTACGTGCGTGGCAGCTATCATTATGACAAGACGGGCCAGAGAAAGGCACGCTTTGAGCAGGTCCAGGAGGGCACAAACTCATCCTACGAGTTCGTGGAGCAGATCGACCTCTACAACGAGGTATGTACGCCAACATGTAGCGCATTTCCAAGAGTATTGCGTACATGTATAGTTGAACACAAGCTAGTTTGTCTGTAGATCTTGCATCCACGACGTTGTCCTTCAGATACTATTAGTATTGGAAATCCAGAGGCGAGAAGCCTATCGATGTGCATGCCCAGCAAAAGAATAAGACTTATTACTCGACACATCAAGGACATGACTGCAGGGCATCTTGGAATGGTCAACATGTTGGTCGAAAGAACTTTGCATTACTACGTGTACTAGTATGCTGTGATGCACGTTATACAGGGTGCACTTGACTGCAGCACTTGTATACATCTTATATGTATATGGGAGACAATTATATTTGTACACAGTCCTTGTGTATGGGTGTCGTACATGCACTGGCATGGTAAAAACTTCCGTATACAGACTGCATATCTCAATAAAGCTGAGGTTGTGCGACGGTATCCTGTTTCGCATTCTCCACAGAAAAAGCGCTATCGGGTGAATGTCAAGACGCGTGAATGTCAAGTGTCCACGCTGGATCACCCGTTCCATACTCACGATGTACCCACCGGCGCTCGCTTCCGTGGCCTCTACTACCTGGGGTCTGATGCCGTGGAAGAGGTATGAATACTGTCTGAATGTGATGCATATACACACAATGTGTCACATGCACACATACCCACACACATACCCACACACATACCCACACACATCATTCTGTTCATCTTTCTGTGAAGACCGGACCTATGGGACGGTGAGAAGGCAACAATGTCTGATGTGCAATTGGTGAAGTAAACTAAAAGTCAAAACAACATAATACACATGTGCGCACACATGTCAAAACAAACACATACACACACACACACACACACACACATACACACACATACACATACACACACACACACACACACACACACACACACACACACACACATACACGATGCACTTATGCATTATTACAAGAGGTGATGCTACATTGAAGTACCCGGACCCACCACGCCGAGAAAGATCTTCTTCGTATTACTTTTAGGATATCACGTGACAGGCCATTCCAGTGACTAGCAGCTGTCCCCTTCATGCAGCCATACATAATAAATAATTATTATAACATGAACAGTACTTGTAGTACTATACGTATACATGTAGATGTACAGAGGAATAATCCCATTGTGAGTTTAGTACAGTAAAACCTGTCAAGGCGACCACCCGTCCCAGAAGACCACTGCAGCCAGGACCAAGGCATGCTATTTCCAGTCAAATGGCACTGGATAAGGAGACCACCTGGTTATAGAGACCACGCTTTGCAAGTTCCTTGAGCGGTCGTCTTAGACAGGTTTCACTGTACATGTACGCATGCTATGTACTTGTTCATACCATTTTGTCTTTCACCATAGGGAGTGGTCGAGATGTCGCAGTGGGACTACTTGTGGTCCACACGCGGTTTCTTCTGGGATGGATCCTTCACCACCCACGGCTGCATTCCATATCATTCAAACCGCTTCAACCACACAACGTTCGGCGCCATCTTTGAGTCGTAAGTCACTGCACACACTTAAGTCCTGCTGTAAGAATTGTTTCTTTGTTTCCATTACACCAAGTGGGTAGCCCGTGAAGGCCACGAGGTGCATGTGCACCCCCGAAAATCTGTCGACCTCCGTTCAGCATGTGCATGTTTGGGCTAAATGGCATTGGGATCGCAATTCAGTGCCTGCTGTGAAGCCAGAGGTGCCCCCCCCCCCCTCTTCCTCCTGAAAGTTGGACCAGCTACGCCACTTCCGACAATGTACTAACGTTAGCCTTGGAGTGTGGCTCAGATTTCTCTTTGGCTTTTCAATACCCATGGACTATCAACACAAGTATAGTGTGAACTGCCGAAGAAACCCAGACCCACACCTGAGGTCATTTGCTCCATATCCAACAGGCCGGGCCACTCACGGCACAAGTTCAGAATGTGATGTTCATCCACTGAGCCACTACACTCCGATATTGAATACTGGAGCACTCGAACTCCCCTGACCCGGACTCCCCTGACACTATCCAGACTCCCCTGACCTGGACTCCCTTGACCTGGACTGCTATGACCCGGACTCCCCTGACATGACCCGGACTCCCTTGACCCGGGCACCCTTGACCTGGACTCCCCTGACATGACCCGGACTCCCTTGACCCGGGCACCCTTGACCTGGACTTCCCTGACCCCGGACTCCCCTGACATGATCTGGACTCCCCTGACCTGGACTCCCCTGACATGACCCGGACTCCCTTGACCTGGACTCCCCTAACCTGGACTCCCTTGACCTGGACTCCCCTGACCTGGACTCCCCTGGCCCAGACTCCCCTGACCTGGACTCCCTTGACCTGGACTCCCCTGACCCGGACTCCCCTGACATGACCCGGACTCCCTTGACCCGGGCACCCCTGAACTGAACTCCCTGGCTGTTTGAGACTCTGAGCACATTGCCAGTATATGTGGATCAATGCACTGTATTCTGGGTTATCACAGGGCCACTGCTCTGCTTGACCTACAACTATTATTATTTTCTCAATGCCGTACCACTTCTGGGTTTGGTCTGCTGCTGGCTTGTAGGTTCTCGGATGTAACGCCAGGCATTCGGGATCCCAATGTCTTCATTCCACCACCACAGTGCTTTGGACATTAAACCAGTTGCCGCGGCGTGTGTGACGAGCTGAACTACGCTGATGTGCTGTGTGATTGTGCCAATGCCGGGCAATGGCAGTCCTCTTAGAAACCCCTGTCCCCGTCTCGTATCCGGAGTCTTTGTCAGTGTCACAAACGCTGTGTGGCACGTCACAGCTTTAGCCCACGTGATGTTTTTGTCACTCGTTTCTCAGCTTGTGTTGGCGTCTGTGGAATGTTTGTGACAAGCTGTGTGTGATGCGGTGGCGGTGTTCAGTGCATTTCTGTCGGTGGTGAGTGACGCATCGTTTCGTATAATTATGTAACTACACCTATTGTATGTATTATATCACTCTCAAATATCCACAATGTGATTTCCGCAAGTGCACAGCCATTGTACGCTATACCAACCTTTGGACTCAGAGTACAGTGTGACTGGTTTTACTGGCAGATATGCCTCTGGAGACAGTTTGCTGCCCGGGGCTTCAGTTGGTACTTACGTGCATGAATCTGCAGCCGGGGTTAAAAACAGTGCCGCGATAGGGCCATCATCGTCAGTGACTGGTCACTGTGATCATAGGTATCAGTCCCCGAGGCTTGGTCTGCTACAGACACAGTCATATTAAATGCTGCCTCTCACTACTGGCACATTGGCTATGCCTCTCACTACCGGCACATTAGCTATGTAGGTACATGTAATGATGTATGTATGTATCCGCTGAGCCCGGCCGGCCACTGTTATTGTTTTTAAACCTTATGTACACCTGACTAGCAGGTGGGCTGTGCAGCATGTATTGCACGCAATGAACAGCCTGACTAAGGGTGTTGCACTTTCAGTGGGGGCAATGGGCCTGGGAGGGTTGCAGAGTTGCACTGCACGTTTCTATGTTGTGAGTTCATGCCGCTCTGGTCCGGAGATGTCTTCTTGACTGCAAGCTGAACTTCATCCCTGGCTACTGTGCCGAACAGTCGCTCATTCAGCAAGGCAAGCACTGAGCTGTGTGGGCAATGCACACGCTGGCTTGTGGTTGGCTGTTCCCATGTCAACACACTGTGCGGCCAGTTCAGACGCCACGACTAGTGCATGCACTGCATGTACTGGTGACAAGGACATGTTAGATGCAGACTCACCATACACAAACGGCATGGCATCATGATCCCATTGGAGTCGCCATGGACACGGCACATTGCAAATCTGTACATGACAATCATCATCAAAGCCATGAGATATGACACAAACAAAGCTACTAATAAAATAATTCATGATCAAAGAGCTTTTTTTTAATACGTCATGACTTTATTGGTAGTTTTGTGGCCCATGATTCTTCATAATCTTCTTCCTCCTCCTATCCTCCTGCGCGCCGACATGAACTAATAGTAATACTTATGATGAAGTGTGAACTCTACACTAGTACAGAGACAGAGTACAGGCAGCACTGATAGCGCATGCGTTCTCGACGCAAACGTGGCGTCGAGAACGCATGCGCTATCAGTGCTGCCTGTACTTTGTAGTGTAGAGTCCACACTTCATGTCGGCGCGCGGGAGGAGGAAGAAGACAAGTGCAAAGACAAGTAACTGTTGTTGGAGGGAATCTACCGGTAAAAAGTACTATATCCGTTTTCGGAAAGGCAAACCGGGCCGCTGACCTGTACGTGAGCTTTTTATTATATCCGTGTATGCCTGGCGAGCTCAAGAGGCTCGGAAAGTTGAGACGATGATCATCAGTAACGAATAGGTTCATCCGCAACCAAGGGTCGACGCGGGACCTTTGCCGGGGTGCCCATGCCTCGAGGTAACACAGCTCGAATGTTCGGCTACTAGTACCCGCATGTGGAACTTCTTGAAGTAACAATGGTGGTGGTGCCTTCACTGTCACCCAGTGCTTGTTGTTCGTAGCACTAACAGCTACAGCCTGCACCTGTCGTGACCTAGCGAAGAAACCGTCTCGTCGACGAACCGTTGGACTGGATATCGTCAGCTGGTATCGTGACAGCGCCCGTCACTACTGCTAGCCAATGCTCCTCCGAACAGTACGTACAGTCATGGCAGCGCAAGCTACGAAGATGTCGGATACCCTGTCCGAAGATGACGCCTGTCGAGTTTGTTGAATCTCGTGTTTACTGCAGCAGCTGCCGGGATCTGGCGATGTTGACGGCTCGTCCGCATCACGTGGTGGACGTCGTGTTGCTGACTTGACTCGCTCGAGCATCCGTCGACGTGACTAGCTTACCAATGCCGACGTGATTGGGCTCTTCCAACTCCGAAGCTCTCTATCTTGTAGGCGGGAGTGGAGGCGTGCTGTAGGATGTACCTTGGTCAATACCTTCAACTTCAACTTAGGTACCTCATCTCCTCGAACCAACATTTGTATTGGCAGGCTGAAGAAAATCGTGTTGTGATCAAGACGTTCGAGTGATTGGTTTGCGAGTATGTGGACTACTGTACTGTTGGTGGTGGCCGGATTCAGTGCCTTGGCTGCGTCGCAGGCACCATGTGGTGAGTACAGGCCGCAGTACTGTCTCAGTGCCTGATAGTGATACTGACAGAGTCCGGGCAATGGGCCATGGACTGTCTTGTTTAGAATAGCCACAGGGAAAATCCAGGCCAGTTGAATGGTCACTGAAGTGCCCTGCATCTTTCTAGTACATGTAGTACATTGCATTGTATTGTACCCAGCCTGCGCATATGCAGGCATCACTGCATTGCAGACCCATGCTTACCCCCCCCCCCCCCCCCCTTCCACCACCACCACCACCACCACCGCTTTTCAACATGGGTCCATAACAAGAGGGTTGGATAGGTGAAAACAGGCGGATTCAACACGACAGACCACACTCCTCACACATCACACCATACACGTACATGTATACTAGACCATAGCAGGTCCGGAAGAACTGGTCCGGTTGGTCAGGCTATGCCAGTCCTGCGTGGCACACAATAATTATGATAGGCATCAGATATTGAACCATACAAAACCACAACCATATTCGACAGCATGTATGAATAACAGGCAAGCCAAACTCGTGTAACACTTTGTGATTGATGGTCTGTGCTGGAAGTGGCATGTGTGATCATGTACATACTCAACACGTACATGTACATGTCACCGACACCCACTGAACAGAGTCTACACCTACATGTACATGTAACTTGTAAGTTAGTTGCCATCACTGCCAACTGGCCAACGGTCTTTTATTTTGTCCGCCCAACAAAGTAATGGAACAGCTACCAAGTATCAAGCAGGCCGCGGCGTGCCCCGTATGGGTTCCTGGGTGCCCGGAACCCCCCTTTTTTTCGCTCAAAATGCAGGATTTTTCTTCATTTCCCGGGGAGGCCCCCGGAACCCCCCCCCCCCTTGGAGGGCACCGGCGCACGCGCCTGTCAAGTACCCATGTATTATTACCATTGGTTGGATCACGTTACGAAATATGCAACAATGTGTTGTTTTTCGACCTTTTCAGCTGCCATTTGCCCTGATCATGCCTCGTGCGTGTTTCACAGCATAGTACGTTTCCGCTCATTTTCTTCTTCAACACACGCTAGCTGTATTACTTTGTTCTTGCCCGTACAAGAGGCTGTACTCGTCTTTTTAACGTAAAAAATAACAACTGCGGATAAAACGACAACACGGGGAAAAATGTGATTACTAACAGTTGTTTGATGTCCCACCATAACTTTTAAACAAGACATGCACTTATCGTTGGGTCCGATGCAAAGAGAAGACCATGATGTACAGGTAGTGTTTCACCACAGTGGTTACCATGGTTACGCTGTAGCTGTAGTATGCTAGTGGTATGATGGGGTTGGTGAAAAGCAAGCAGTTCTGACATTGTACGGTGTCCATTGTTCCCGTGTGATTGCTTGCAGAGTCTCCTGGCCAGTGGGACGCGCACTTCTCCATGTTTGACCCGGCTCAAGGACATGAATTCTACGTGAATGGCGATTACCACTATGACAAGACGGGCATGAGGAAAGCGCGCTTTGAGCGCGTCAACGAGGGAGTGAACTCCACGTATCGGTTCGTGGAGGTGATTGATCTGTACCAGGAGGTGAGTTGTCGACTAGAACCGGCAACAGTGCCCGGGTCAGACTATCCCATAGATGTAGTAGTGCATTCGTGAATTACATACATGTACATGTACAGACACACGCCGCCGACAGTGGGGTGTGTTTCAACTTTTAGTTGCACCAAGAGTACATAACCCCCCAGAGTGTGCAACTCCACTATGGGTGCTGTCCCGACAGAATTTCAAGTTGACGTCATTTTGATGATGCAATGCGCACTGTACACGGATTATCAGACGAATCCGGAACCTGTGGTTGACCGAAGCCGATCGATCCTGTACAAATTATTGCAAAGAAAAACGTGTGATGCGTTGACACCCGTACACATGTTGTAAATCACTGCTGCAAGGAGCATTGCGTCATAAATAATGACGTCAACTTGAAATTCTGTCGGGACAACAGGGTATGTGGGAGTTGCACACTCTGGGGGGTTATGTACTCTTGGTTGCACTCCATGCTGAGAGGCAATGGGCAGAGTCTGGACAGACAGACTTAACGACACACAGACACAGGCACACACAGGCACACACATACTGATTTGAAGTTCCGTGCAATGATCTGTTTTCGTGTGCAGAAAAAGAGCTACAGAATTGATGTGCGCACACGAGAGTGCAGAGTGGAGACGATCGACTATGACTTTCACGCCCATGATGTGCCCACCGGGGGACGTTTCCGTGGCCTCTACTACCTCGGCTCGTCTGCAGAGGAAGAGGTGAGTTTGATTGACTATGATACAGGCGCATAGTCCGCAGGGGGCACGTGCACCCCCCCCCCCCCCGTTAAATGTTCTACCTACATGTAGGTTCAGCATGCACATTATGACCATGATGGCATGCACCACCAGCCATCGTACACGTATGATGTAGATGATACAATACTTTGGTGAAGCGGCCGTGCCCCCCCCCCCCCCCACACACACACCTGCTACATCCCTGTGACACGTGCTCGTGTATACTCAATCTCCGGGCAGCTAGCTGTTTCAGCCATGTTTTTAAAAAAGTCTCTTGAGCGGAGCCCAGCGTGGTTAACCAAACCGATCACAAAGAAATCTTGTGAAGAACAAAGCACTTTGTCAACCGGCTCAAAGCATCTAGGTCAGAGTGCTCCAACTGCATGAAGCACAGCGAGCGTTGCAAGAGGGCAAGTAACTGTGACGCTAACCTGAAAGAGTGTTCAGCAAACTGTAGTTGTATGCGTAATCGCTGTTGCCTTGTTTTGACCTGGCCCACTTGGCCCACTTCACCTCTCTTGCCGGCTGCCATCATGGCCCATTCATGGATGCTTCTTCTGTTACCAACACGCAGGGTAGCATTGAACTGTCCGCATGGGACTTCAACTGGGTGACACGTGGATATTTCTGGGACGGCTCTTTCACAACGCACGGTTGCATACCGTATCACTCCAACGCCTTCAACGGAAGCACATTCGGAGCTCGCTTTGAATCGTAAGTGCTGCCTGTGCAAATCAGCGACCATGCATTCCATAGTGCAGTCCATGGCGCATAACAAACACGTCTGAATGTAAGCGTGCACTACGCTTCTGAAGGGGGGGGGGGGGGAGGGGGGATTTGCACTTCCCTTCCGTGTGGGAAAAGAAGCGCTGCTACTTTCCCATCCATCAATGGATGTCCAACTCTGAAAGATAGAGACCTAGAACTTGCCTTGGCACCCATGGTCCTGTCTTTTGCACAATTCTGTGGTGAGTTCCACAGGTATTGATGAGGTCACAAAATTGGAGATTCATGAGATTCAAAGACCTTGAAAAAAAGCTCCCAGTTGAGTTCCTCCCACATCTTATCTTGCTATTCTCTCTCCATCTCTGTCTCTCTGTCTCTCTGTCTCTTTCTCTCTCTCTCTCTCTCTCTCTCTCTCTCTCTCTCTCTCTCTCTCTCTCTCTCTCTCTCTCTCTCTCTCTCTCACACACACAACACACATGCATTCTCTCGTCGTCCCTCTGTCTATCTTGTGCGTGTGTGTATGCTGATTTTTTTGTGTTGCAGATTCTGGGATGTGACCCCCGGCCTGCGTGATCCCAACGTATTTATCCCACCACCGCAGTGCTTCCAGAACTAATCAAGTACAGTTAGGATATTCCTTACAACATGGCTCCACGCTCCGTGCCCCTCCCTGGGTGGAGTACTTGTGCTCGTCAGGCCTTATTCAAGTTTTGTCCACAGCAATTTCTCCTTGTGTTTACACATTATTGTAATTATCCTTCATCACAGAACTTTCGAATTCTAAGCTAGTACACCGTAACTAAAAAGCCTTGCATTGTGTCTGTGCGTGCGTCTTCTTCGCGCACTCTCGGGAACTAGATATAAAGGGCGTACGTTAGAACAGAATCGTGACGCGAAGACGGGCGCAATAGCACCGACCGTGCCCACATCGACCTTGCTCAGTGGACACTTGAAGTCGGAATCGCACACGCACGTCTATGGAAGGGAATGCAGTTTTCTTGTACTGTGACGCGTCAAGTGTCTTTCACAGCACGGGGATGCAGTGATTCCTGGAGTTGCATCCTGGCAACGTAAGCCTGATCTTGTCCGGCCATTGGCATCAGTAACTGACTGCGGTGAGGTACTGACACTGGAAAAGCAATATTTGGGGATACGGGTACGGTAGGCGCAAGTTGAGTCATCCTACTGAGAGTGTGCGAATATTGAATATTGTCTGCTGTTGAGAAAGTACAGTACTGTATAGCTTGTTAGGGTGCGGTTGCAGGCATGCAGGCGACGTGAGATTCCGGCGAGAGTACATACCTGATTTGTACACTTGCTGCCAGCGTACGCATGCCTTTTTTCTGCGCCGAGTGAAAAATAGTGAACATTAATCCGTCGCGACTATCAGGCAGTTTACAGTACTGTATTTTTACTTTTAGTAGTCCTCAGTGGTGCTGAGTTACCATCACTTACCAGACCACACCAAGTCTCTCTGCACACAAACCACAAAACTACGCTACGCATTTCAGAAGCCTCCCGTACTCTTTCATCTGTACGATTTCCTTTGTCAACAGCTGGCGGAACCCTATAAAAATCGTAGATCAAAGTCATTATAGGTATCGAAAAGGGGCTCTCAAAGCCCCTAAATAGCTCCACAAAACTACCGAATATAAGGGTACACAATAATTATAATGCAAGTGAGATAATGCATGTAACCTCGTTCTAAGATAGTTAGTGCATGGCAGGGAAGGCCTTATGGCTTGTTTGTGCCCTTCAGGTTAGCCCTCCCTGCCATGCACTAACCTATAATTAGTGGATCTTCAAGTGACCAGGAGCCCCTTTCAGAGCATGCACCCTGGCACAGCAGGCTGCTACTGACCTCTTGCCAGGATCCAGATCCAACCAATCAAACATGCTACATTCCATGGTAAACTTGTTGGGCACCTGCACCGGGGAGCTACTTCAGAAGTTAAAATGTCAACTCGTTCCATGTTGCGAACTACAGTGTACATGACCGTATAAGCACCACTGCGGCACTGGCGTCGTTTTGCAAGTCACTGTGGTCCATTCTGACACCTCCGAGGATACAGTGGATATACGGGTGGACTTTATACTGTATGCTACAATTTGTAGTGAAGTGCAGTTGCTCTCTCCATGTCGGCATGGGGCCATCCATAAGTACCCGGATGGTTTTTTGCAAAACTGGAAAACAAACTTTCATTTACTAGCACATGATACGTGGGTACTGGGTTGAGACTAGTGTCCACCTGGCCCGTCTACTACTGTTAATTTAGTTGGCATGAACAGATAATCTTGAAGGCACAACAGCATGCAGAAGTAGCCACGCACAGCTGGCTGGAAAGCAACTAAACTTGTTTTGACAATCATTAATTTGACTTTGGTTAATTTAAAAAAGATCAGAGCATAAATCCAAATCAGGTAGTGCTATGCTCTGTATAAACTTACAAGACTTCAGTTCTGCAAGACTTAGTGATGTGATGACATACACAGAAAGGATGCAAAGGTAGAAACCAGCATCAAACAACGACATGCTTTTTAAAAAAAGAACACGACAAGCGACACACACAAGTCATAGCTGTCAAGCCGACGCATTAGTCTAAAAACAAAGAGCTGGACTGTTTGCACTCAGGTGGGTGGAACTACAAGTAGCTAATTCAAAGAGGATGTTGGCAATGGACATGGAAGTTCGAAAATACTTCATTGTAGATGTCCGGGGAATAGTTGCCTCCGATTCCCTCGGCATTCCCCAATATTGATTCGAAAATCACTGGTGGGCCTAGCCACCTTCAAGTGAAGAAAAGCAAATAAAATGTGACATGACAAAAAAAAGTCGGACATACTCTGGCCACCAAGCCACTGAGAACACAACAAACACTTGGAAGTGTCAAGATGGCATGCGTACCAGCGTGTGCACGAAAAACAGAAAATAAAATTGTCCGTGGCTCAGCACAGCGAAGCACAATGGTTCGTACAGACAATACAGTTTGGTCGTGGCTGTGAATATTTATGCGCGAACAATGTGGACAACACATCAAGCGACAATTGTCGACATCTTTGATACAGATGACATCACACCTCTCTAGTGCCATAGGCTCCGACTGACAGGACTAATCTATGACAATGCGCAGCCTAAGTAGCAAGGATACACATACATACGCATGCATGCACAGACGTATACACAAACATAATGCATGCATGCATGCATGCATGCATGCATGCACACACACACACACACACACACACACACACACACACACACACACACACACACACACACACACATGTACACAGCAATTCAACACTTTTCAAAGCAAGGGAACTTACAAGTTACAGCTGGCGGCTTATTCAGCACTCAAGTAAACTTTAGACGCGCCATGTGTTTGGCAAGAAATTGAACATGTTGGAAACTCGCATCCCCCCCCCCCCCCCAACAACATAACAAAGCACAGCCCGTATAGCTCTCTCTCACAAACATACCCGCACACATGCTGTTTACAGTGATACATACCTCTCCTCCTGGCTTTGTGCTTCCTCTAAATCACGAATAATACACTGCTTCCTGGACAGCTTGGCAAGCTAAACAACACCAACAGCAAGAACAAGATTACGTAGTGAAAAGCTGGAAGTCAGCAAGACTGCTCACAACCAACAGACATCATCAAGTCATTCTCACTGTAGCGTTGCTCTCCAGAAGTTATCAGCGAGCACTAGGTCACGAGTAAGGAGTGTACAGTCAACTTTGCTAATACCGACTGCGGATATAACGACAATTCGCGAATAACGACAGAATTCCCATGCCCAGAGCAAAGTCCCATCTAACTGCAATACAGTTGCTGTCCACAGATTTGAGTAACTGCAATACATATAATGAGACTTCGTGAATAAGGACACTTTTCTGATGGCCAGCCGAGTACTGTCGTTATACGCAAAGTTGACTGTAGTCGCTGCACCAGCGGTGGTGACATCTTACCTGGTCTTCATCCAATACATCACCAGCATCCTGCTTCGCCTCAAGGCCGCTGATCTGTATAAATTGACACATTGACATGCACACCAACACCAACACACACACACAAGGTCCAATATCTAATTATGGAAGCGCAAACTAATTCCTAATCAGTCAGAAACAGGACTCCGTGGCACTAGTACACCAAATCACCACTACATGTACTTGGCACAGAATAGAAGCCGAGAGAGACTGACTCCAGCAGCCTTGTTACACAGCAGCTAGCAGACAGCAGAGCAGAAAATATCGCCCTACCTGGTTGAGAAGCTTCGCCAAGCGCCTCTTCACCTTTTTCACCCTAACACATGGAAAGATAGAAACCGAAAAGTGTTAACGTATTACATCGCCACACATGCATACACATGCACGCACACTCGCATGCATACACACATACACGGGTGGCATGGTAAAAAGTAAGAATTGCTGTTCATCAATACGTCAATACAGCTAGCAAAAGATGAATTGAGCACAAGGTTACAATGGTCAATACCTGTCCAGCTCAGCTTCTTGCTCTTCTTTGATACTAGCATCCTGTGCCTCTGCTGATAGAGACGACCCACTAGCAGTGCCCACGCGCGCAAAGCTTGGGTTGGGGCGGCCTGATGCTGTTGATGGCTGCCATTCCTGCTGCTGCTGTTGTTCTTGTAGTTGCTGCTGTTGTTGTTTTTGTAGTTGCTGCTGCTGCTGTTGTGTCTGCATTGGGATTGAAAAGCCTGGCGGAGGTCCTGATGGTTTGCTAGCTGTGGACACCGGTGCTGGTGCTGCTGCTGGCACCACCGCCACACCAGCGCTCTGCTCAGCCAGGCCACCGGGACGTGGGCTAGCAGCATAAGCCCGGTGTGGTACGGACGCAATGCCACGACTGCGTGCTCGGCCTCTGCCCTGGGCCAGCTGAATCACGCCGCCCTTGTCTGCCATCACCGCCGCTGCTGGCTGAAGAGGCGTGAAGTGAGGCGCTACTACAGGCTCCGGTTTGTCGACCGGCACGCCAAGACCATCCACCAGGCCGGACCTAGATGGCCACCCATAGTCATTCGTAGTGTAAACCGGCGTGCATTCTACCGGGGTCTCAGGTGACGCCAAAGCCGCATTGCTCGGCTCGGAATCACCCCAGTCGGCATCATCAAAAGTTTGCTGGCCGTGCGATGGCATAAAATTGACAAAACCTGCATCCTCAAAGGTATTACTAACAGGGTGGTGGGTATGGGAGAACGTCGCTGCAGCAAAAAACAACCCAAGAAAAGACTTTCAGAATGCACTTCTTACTTACTGGCTGATAGGAAAGAAGGAAGAAAGTGCAATGGCCCAGGCACCACTGCACAAAGACTACCATAATACGTGTACAGGCACGTGTACACGCACATGTACATAGTAGCAGAATGAGAGCAGCATCAGCAGCAACAACAACAGCGCACACACACCACACTCAGCACTGCACAGTGCACCACACTCAGCACTGCACACACACCACACTCAGCACTGCACACACACCACACTCAGCACTGCACACACACACACACCACACTCAGCACTGCACACACCCACACCACACTCAGCACACCCACACCACACTCAGCACCGCACTGCACACCCACACCCACACACCACACTGCACACACACACACACACACACACACACACACACACACACAGACACAGACACACACACACACCACACTCAGCACTGCACAGCGGACAGCACAGTACATGTACTAACATCATCTATCACTACAATGTACGTACCGACAGGCTGTGCTTTATCCTGTACAACAACAACACACACACACAACATACACAACATACACAGCACACACCGAAATGAAGAGAAGAACAACAGAACGATACTGTTTTATAATATCAGGTCACGAAGTTGCACGGTGAATCGAGACTTTTAGTCTAAAGTCTTAAAACACCTCTTGGACATACAGTGTGGCCAATACTACCTCTCTAGCCACGCACACCAAGACGCCTTTCTGCCCATAGTTTGGCTTTGTTTTGTCCCCCAGTATTAAGCAGGTACCGGTCTATTTCCCACGTCTACTTCACCCCTCTGCGCATTCATGATCAAGTGATAAGAGATCGGATAGGAGATACCAGGGTTCGTAGCACAATCTATACACAAAATTTCAGGGGATTTCCAGGGGCATTTCAAGGGTATTCACAGATGTCATACAGTCGCTAGACACCACATATCCGTAGCCACACAGAGGTTCACTGATTCAGAATGTCAACAATCGAAGATTTAATCATCAATACTACAAGTAGTAGAGCCACCGTCACCATCATGCTTCTCCATCGCTAAGTTCTCAGCTAATTAGGCAGTCTTTGTACGGGTCCAAAGACAACCAGCGATCGTTGAAAACACACTTGCCTTTCGGCATGGAGAACAAGTACAACTCTGTAAAACTTCTTCGGCATTCCGAAAAAAACTGAAGACACTTTGTCTTGTTGAAGGCCAAAACAAACAAATAAAACGGAAAAGCAGTTGCAGTGGCGGATTCCAGTTTCGCTACAGTCAGGAACCGTCGTACCACAGTCGATAGTCGAGCGTACATGGCGATCAAAAAAATACCGTAAAGAACTAAAGATTCATGCGAGCTGCGCTGGCCGCTGAGGCCGTCGACTCACATGACCAGTACAGGTGACCGGACTGGCACTGGTAGATCTATGCATATCATGTACAGTCAGTCGCTGAGTACGGAGGTCTACCAGGTCGCGTGATCTGGAAAACAAATTTCAGGGGATTCAAGGAACATATTCTATAAAATACAAAATTTGAGGGGATTTCAGGGAATTCCCGGGGGAAGAAAAACTTTCAGGGTTTTCAAGGGTTTTTAAGGGTGCTACGCACCCTGAGATACTCTATTCTGCAGTCCACAATTACAGGTCCGCAGTGCTAATCAGTGCGTCTAGGGGTAGGGTTGGCCCGATTCTGCGCGTTTTTTGTGGAAAAATTGAAATGCAAAATGCGGCCAAATCTTATCAAAATGCATATCGTCTTTTTTATGCTTTTCTAAAATTTTCTAAAAAAATCATTTTTTTTAGCCAAACCGCGGATAAAATGGGTTCGTTACCATGACAACAAAATGGCGACGAATTGTTTGAAGAGTATAACGTTTATAAGTCTTCTTTCATTTTGCTCTCCTGTACCAGCTGCTGTTGTTGTCTGATGATATACCGCTATGGCTTCCAATCTTGCCACCGTAGTTGAAACAGCTGATTCTGATGGTGAGGACTCTGAGGAGGAGGGAGGCGGGAACCGGCCACAACCAGAATTTGGCTTGGATTGATGTGTGCCAGTGGGGATTAGCCAGGAAAACCGCCCTTTTCTGGGTCGAAACCGTGCAGAAACAGGCAAAATTCGAAAATGCAAAAGTGGGGTAGATTTACCCCAAAATGCAAAAAAATTGAAAACAGAATCTGGACATCCCTATCTGGGGGACTCTAAGAACTCTGCTTGGAGTTCGCCAAGGCTCCTCCAATCAGCATGTGTCAGTCGGAGTAGTGATTGTGATTCTAAAAATGAAAGTCACAAACACATGATGGGCATCGACAACAATAGTACCTTGTGCGGGCAGGTTTCCGTGTGATGTGTCAAGATACTCATGGGCACCTGGTGGGTGGCATTGTATGGGCAACGCATCAGTGGATTCTCAGGATAATTCTGAACATACAAACAGGAAAAAGCCAAAGTCATCCACCAAAACCAATCCTAAGTGACGTAATTTAAATTAGCTCCATGTGCAGCGCAGTCATGCTTTGCACGGCAGCAACACAGCCATTTCCATACACACCTCCCCTTCAGTGTACCGTGGACGCTGACACAGCAAGCATGCACACACATGCGCGCGCGCGCGCGCACACACACACACACACCACCGACGCTTTGTACTCTGTAGGTATCATATTACGGAGTTTTCCAGAGCTCTGGATCAGTTGTTGTTTGAAATAAAGGCAAGGCGTAGACACTACAATGTGCAGTGCAGTCACGCAAAGCTACACAGCACAGGACAAGGCTAGCCCGCTCAGTCATGCACACAGGACACACCTATTGGATGATAACTACGGACGTGTATAGCGGCGGACACGGCGTGTACAGTTCGAACAGGGACAATAACAGATGCTACTAGTCTACACACATACACAATATCCGAAAATTTGATTGAGAGATATTAGTAATTTGCAGCGAAACGACCACTTGATTTGAGGATGGTGTGTGTAGAGTTATACCGTAAAGTACCGTCGGAGCGCCCCACCTTGATTTTACAGCCAGGGAAAGGAAAATCGTATGGCACAATCCCACGAAGTGTGTACGGGGTGAGAACCATAGTGTACTAAGGTCACACTAAGCAGGTTTCTGTGTGGAGCTCGTATCCGCTCGAAAGTACGGATTGTCTCCACAACCTGCAATATGTGTACAAAGTTCGTGTTGTATGACCTACAGACAGCAGACCACCTCCACAATACGACCACGAAAGGACGAGATGGTGGGGCGCTCTGGCGGTACTTTACGGTACATGTAATGAAGTGGCTGTCGTGGGGCTTGCGTACCTTAATTAAGAAACGTACACGATAGGCGGCTTTAATCTGCAACATGCCAATACAGCGTATATTATGGGATTTGGAAGAGCGATTCGTCAACAACTCCGCGTTGGGAGGGAAACCCAGCCTTGAAGGGGATTCACACGACGTGAAAATGAACGAAAACACATGTGTGTGTGTGTAAAGGTGGACAAGCTGCCCATTGGAGTCAAACGGACAACAGACCCGTTCAAATCTCGCATGCGTCTGTGTACTCGAGCATACTCATGCAGCTCGAGTACCATAGTGCCTGGAATTGGCTGGAAGACAAGGCCTGGCCCTTCGCGGACACCGCGATGATCTGACTGGATTGTGAGCTGGCCAAGTTCGATGGCAAGTCAGTCACGGAGGCAAACGGACTGCTCCGTGCAATATCATCGGATGACTTTATTGTCTCCTTGCACTGTAACGTTTTCGTCTCTGCATGCCTGAAAGGTCTGAGTGCTCTTTTTCCAAGGTTCACATTTGGATATATTGGAAGCATACTCCCAGATATCCGCAGTCGTCACTGTCTTTCAAGGTCACCTCGAGGAGGCGGACATATCATTCAAGAAGGTCTATGGTGAAATAATTTGCAGTCTAACAGCTGTCCATGGGAGAGAGAAACCAGTCATTCCTCGCACTTCAGCACGCCAGACACAGCGTAGCAATGTGCCTGCCTCCGATGCAAAGGAGTACTGGCGCAGGTCAGTTTCGTGCCGTTCCTGGATTCGGTTATTTCTGAAATGGGCAGTCGTTTCAGTTCCCTGAGCCAGAAGGCCATCCAGGCACATCTTCTTCTCCCTGCCAACTTGGATCGCATGTCATCCGATCACATTGCCAACATAGAGGCAGCCTATGCTTCTGATCTCCCAGACAAGAGCAACTTCAGTGCTGAAGTGGAGCTGTGGATGAAGAAGTGGGAAATGCGCCCAGCAGGACAACATCCAACTTCTCTCCCCAGTACTGTCAAGGAAACCAATTCCATACTATACCCAAACATCTTGCGCATCTTGCAGCTTGTTCTTGTCATTCCTGTGACATCCGCTGGCGTCGAATGTGCTAACTCCACCCTGAAGTTTATCAAAACGAAACGCCGCAGCACCATGACGCAGTCACGACTGAATGCCCTTGTGCATCTGCATTGCCACAAGAGCATTCCTCTGGATCTGGGTGCTGTATTAGACAGGTTTGCTTCAGCTCATCCTCGGAGAATGCTGTTAGTGAACCCTGTCCAGGAGGAGTCCGAAGGTAACTGCCCCGATTTGTAACTTCTCTCTCCTGTTGACGTGCCCTGCCGAACTTTGAAGCAAAGCTGTGTGTACTTACCATGTGCAGAGGCAACTGCTATACCGTCCCTCCAGGAATCCGCGATTCCGCGGCAAAATCCGCGGAATTCATGTTTTTTTAATATCGCGCGGAATTCACAGTTTTCACCGCAGAATCGTGAAAAATCACGGTTTGGTGGCAATGCGAGCACGCGCTTCATATTCATGCACATGCACAGTGCAGTGTCCTGTCGCTATTTTGTTGCATTCAAAGTCGAGGGAGTTTTCTTCGTTACTGTATTGAGCCTATCGTGTGTTTTCGACCACTAAATTTTTTATTGATACTTGTACATAGCATATAGCCATGTCTTTTCGCCGGTGCAGCGCCGCAGAAATACCGCAGTATTGCCGCAGAATTCACGCTATCCGCCGCATAATGTAGCGATTTGTGCTGCAGAATTCTGCGCAGAATTTCAACTTTCTGTCCGCGGATTCCCGGAGGGACAGGCTATATCCCTTCTATGTACTTTCATTATTAATTTTGTGATTCAAGCTATGGAAATACATGTACAATAAATGATTTAAATACATTTTATTTTTCGTGGTGCGTGAGATTCACGGCTTCTTGACATCATTTTCACAATGGCCGACCCGGGACAGTAGCAGGATGTCATCTATCCCCACCGCGTCCAGGCCGCAGCCCCCCCCCCCCCCCCCCCCCTCAGCCAAATCCTGGACATGCCACTGTTTTTTTCGAACTTTTATTTCTATTGAATGCCCAGCATGCTAGCTATAGCATGCAGTAATGTAAAAGAAAGCGTGGTTTGACAATCAACAAAATGTCGGTTTAAATCTTACATACTAGTGCTAGTACCACACTCACTTACTAGTGTACATTTGCCCAGATGGGCGGGCATTTTTCTCCGAGACACCATGTGCACGGGATCATACGGGCACGGGATAAGCTCCGACATGTCTTCCATCTGGTCAGACATTTTCTGCTTTTGACGAGTGGCAACATACGCCATCTTGATGATTCCAAGTGAGCGCACTAGCACTTCCAACGAAAGAAAGACAGATTCCTTGATGGACTGGGGTACCGTGGGACTGTTTTGAAATGGGAGGACTACAACCCTCCAGCTACAATGCGTTGATAATCCCAAAGAAGAGAAACTGATCTACCATAAAGAGCTATCACTGGAGTATAGCCCGGCCTATTCTAAAGTAAAGAGAGACGAAAGTCGATAACTACAACACAAACAGAAGAAGTGAAAGTTAGTTTCACCCGCGCTTCGAAGTCCACGCAGTCTGGTTGAAAAAATGACACGATCACACGTAGTAAAATGCGCTCTTCTTGACACAAATTATTTCAATTATTATTTCAATATTTGAAGCAAACCCGGCCCGGCCCGTACCCGGTACCGTACCGCATATCGTATCGCGTAGTCTATGTCAGTGATGTGTTTCTGAAATGGGTTTCTGGAATCTGCGAACACTGCAGATGACTCATGCATGACGTAACCAGATAACCAAGGTAACGCGTCACGTCACTGACGTCAGCTAGCTCGTCAGCTTACAGTTACACCATGTATGACGTTGTTGTGGACTTTCATAACATACCCTGGTTGACAACACTTGATTTCTGTAAGTACGGGCGGTTACTGGTGGTTGTGGTGCAAGATCGTGCACCAGGGAGTTGTTTACGATGTTCTTCGCTTCTTGTGCTGCCTGCCGCTGACAAACCTACACTTGCTTAAGGTTAACCAAGTAGTGGTGATAATTTTTCATCTTCTGGAGTGAGAGGAAGTTTGAAAAGAATTGAACGTTTTTCTGGGCTGGACAACGTTTTCTGCAGAAATTGTAATACTGAGTACAGGTACAGTAGTCTGATCGGACGCTCAACAGCTAATAGTACGAAGTGTACCATTATTATAGAGTGAAGTAAGACGTAAGTCTTCCTTCACTCAGCTGGAAGTGATTCTTATCATGGATATGGACGTGTGTGAACCTTCGTCCAGCGGGACTGATGTCGCTGAGGTGAAAGCTACTATAAGTATAACGTCAGACAGGTTGTTGGTGCAGCCTAGCGACAGTGTGAGCTCTCAGTTGAACAGCGTGACCACTGTACACCGGCGCGCGCCCACAGATCTTGTGGAACTTGCGCAGGAGGTCAATCAAGCCAACAGGTTCGTAAGAGCTACTGCGCATAGTAAGCTGCAGCAGATTGCTGACCAGATCAGGTTCCTGCAGGAGCAGGCCAAACAGGTCCTGGAGGCGGCTGTACACGATGGGGAGCTTCACAACGCCAAGTGTAACTTCAAGAAACGACCTGGCACAGTGTACCACCTCTATAGGAAAGCGCCTGGTTCAACATTCGTTTCAATGTTGTCACCTGAAGAATGGAGTTCATGCCCACATGAGTTCCTGGGATCATACAAATTAGAGTTTGACATGTCATGGACACCCATTGAACAAATGGAGCAACGGGCTAAAGACATGGCCCTCATCGACCGACTGCTCTCGGAGAAGACCAATTTGCCGGCGTTAGCAAGCAACTGAATGTTTCTGCAATGACTAGAGCATGTCACTGTAGATGTTAAGAAGTATGCCATGGTGTCGACATACCCTTGGATGGGTACACCGACTGATGGTTTGGACTGGCTCCTTCCAGTCCGGGCAAGAACAACGCTGTGTGTGATGAGTCTACTTCGTTGCGAGGGAAGGCACTGTGAGATGGTGTTCTGTATCCTGACTTGCCAGTGATGGCCTGTGATACAGTACAGTACAGTTGAAGTCTTGCTTGAAGTACACCATGACCAGACTGGTACTGGTTGTGCACAGGTTGCACCCAGGATATGAATGCGCCTGCTATTGATAGGTCCAGTAACCCCTGCACTTGCACCGGCACAGGAGACACATAGCTTCACTGCCTGGGCCAGGGCCCACACTCTCATTGCCAATTTGTAGCCGACAGTCGACTATTTGTTACAGCATTATGTGCTTGCAGTACCTTTTTATCCTATGTGGACCCTGACCTGCAGCTTCTTTACCCATGTGGATAGCCACGCTAGCTTTCAGTGTGGATGTATGCGCTGTTCTCTCTCACTGGCAGTGCAATACAGCAAACAGGAATTCCTGCCACAGTAACGTACCTGCGCTGTTCCTAATTACTGCCTAGTACTAGTAGTAGTAGTAGTAGTACCAAACGCAGCTCTATTTTCATAGTACATGTGTGCCCCGATTCGTTCACAAACCAAACAGTCTTTTGCTGCTATTTTCCATCGTAGGTGATATTTTGAAATTTATTTTGTGCCCATAGTTGGTATTTGTGGCGTGTCTTTGCTAAATTATTTGAGAACATTTTAACGGTTATACCACGCTTTTGTGTGTGTGTGTGCGCGTGTGTGTGTGTGTGTGTGTGTGTGTGTGTGTGTGTATGTGCGCACGGCGAAGTCCCGGTTATCCGCGACGAGGGTGACTGAGTCCCAGTTCGCCGATGATGCAGCGTTGTATGCAACCACCAGAGAGAGATTTGAGTGCATGACGTCCGAGTTCATCTTGTGTGCACAGCGATGGGGACTGACCGTCAGCATTAGGAAGACGAAGGGCATGGCGGTGGGTCAACCAACATCAGTTGATCCCGTTCAACTCGGTGGTGATAGCAGGATTGACATGGTGGACGGGTTCCGGTACCTTGGCAGCGTGCTCTCTGCTGACGGAACGGTGGATGCGGACCTCGCTGCTCGTTTGGCGCAGGCGTCCCGGCTGTTCGGCGTGCTCAGGTCTCCGATATTTCAGTGCGTACATCTCTCGGTCCACACCAAGCGGCTGGTGTATCGTGCTATCGTCCTTCCTGCTCTTCTCTACGGTGCGGAGACATGGCCCATCAAAGCGGGTCATATTCGCCGACTCAACACCTTTCACCATCAGTGTATTCGCACAATTCTCGGTATCTCTCGTCGTGAGCAATGGGAGGAGAGATTGCCGTCAGCATCGCTGAGTGAGCTGGCAGGGGTGGACGTCGACATGGCCGATGTGATCAGGAAGCACCGCTTGCGGTGGCTTGGTCATGTTGCACGGATGAAGGAGACCCGGCTGCCCAAGCAGATGCTGTTCGGCGAACTGCCCTGCAAACGCCCGCAACATGGTCCCAAGAAGCGCTGGCGGGATGTTGTGTCCTCGGACTTTGCTGTCATCGGTTTACCTGAAGCGGACTGGTATGACACAGCGCAGGAGAGATCCACCTGGTTTCAGTGTTGTCGACAGAGGGTCGAGAAGGAAGCCCCAGACATCCCGTGCCCCAACTACCGCTGTGACAGAGTGTTCCGTCGTCCTGGTGACCTCAAGCGGCATGCGCCATACTGCAGATTTCGAGTTTAGAGCCTCAGCGTGAGGAAGCCATCGCTATCATTGCTACGGCAATGGGCGTTCAAGGTTCAAGGTTCAAGGTGTGTATGTGTGTGCGCCTGTGTATGTGTGTGTGTGTGTGTGTGTGTGTGCGTGTGGTATCTGTCTGTCGCCTTTTTTTCTTGACACCATGATCGTTGGAAGCAAGATGCACTGATCAGGGCAAGTACGTAAAGCTGAAATGAATCTGGCAAACAACACAATCCCAACACCCCAGGTTAGGCACCGTAGGTTCTGCACTCGAGAGAAGTCCAGCTGAAAAAAACACCACACCAAGAGTACAAAACCCCCTGCCCTGTATCATTATTGTAGTGTATGTTATGTACAGACAATCAGTGTTGATGTACGATCTTCTTCGGGGCTTCCAAAATCGACAATCGTCCTTTTTTATTTCACTTTCAGATCAATGATGTCATCAACCGTCAGGGATTACACAATGACCCACGTGATCGATCGGCTGGTCTGATCTGCATGATCTGATGACTGATGTTCTGTGTGGATGTGCCTTCAGGCTTCACTCACTTCAAAATCGTAAAGAAAGCTAAAAAAAGAGGAACGTTTGGTTGTCTCTTGAAAGGAATGACTGAAGGTGACATTCTGAGCTTGAGTTCAGCTGCATACGTATCACTTCAGTTCCTTGTTGTACGAGTGGATAGGCGTTTGAAGAATTTCTCTGGCGCTACTGACTAAGTAACCGGTGGAGGAGAAAACTTTGAGTCGAAACAAATTTTGGCACATCCCAGTGTGGCAGAGGCGGTACTGTTTGTGATAGCATTGTGGCAAAAGAGTATCCTCATCATGTGGAGGACTCTTTCTGCCGTGCGTAGCGCTGGCCTTGGATGCAGCAGGGCCTGCTTGACAAGAAGGTATGCGTGTTCGCATTCCACAGGCAGTTTACTAGTGATTATTTTGTGAGCTGATGGGGTCTATGTATGTCAATCCGTTACCAGACCTTGTTGCTGTCATTATTGGTTTCAGTCAAACTCTTGCTGCACATTTTTGTGATGATCTGCCCCCCCCCCCCCCCCCCCCACACACACACAGCCACACGTGCGCACAAATGCACAAAAAAATGATACACTACATTCTAGTTGGACTTCACCAAATCAAGCATCTACCTCGCACAGCCAGTGAACCCTATCCAGCAACCATCTGGACAGGTGTTCCACATTGCCACTGGCATCATCTAACCGCTCCATATACCGCAGTAGGGGATTGAGATGCAGCCTTTGCGTCACAGTGACATAAATTCCTGTGCCTGGCGTTATGTGTGTGGCCCTGTGTGTTGAAGCTTGACGGCGAGGGTGTGCAGGGTGGCAGTATCCTGGCCGTGCTGGATGCGCCGCAGTCCATACAGATTTTTTTGCTGGTACGCGAGCTCGCGCTGACTGCTACCGTGCCAAGCTTCCAGAGGACTGGTGGTACGTGTACCCTCCTTCATCATCTAGCAGGTTGAACATCAGCACTTCCACCGTTCCACCGGCAAATGTGTCTTGTAGTGGTCTGACACACTGTTGTGTTCGTTCACCGGACGCAGAAAGCGCTGCTGCCACTTCCATGTAGTTGCTCTCCTGGCCGTCGAACTTTGGCAGCTCTAGGGGTTTTATCTGCGCTTGACCGACGCCCTGGTGCCAACCCTCTGGTATATTGACTGCCCATTTCTGCACACACACACACACACACACACACACTCACACACACTTGTACTTTGTACTTGATGCTCACTGCCAACACTGGTCACGTGGGTCTCCCCGGGAGAGGGGAGAGAGACTCAAAAGGAATCTTGGAAAGATGACTCAATTGGCTATTGAACCGCCCAACGGCCGACACCCTCTGAAATCCCCAAAACTCTGGGTGGACTTGAAAATGATCCCACTTATGGGCTCGCCACACCTCAGTAAGTGGGTGAGGACAAGGTGCAGAAAAAGGATTGATGGCATCAGGGTATCCGTCCAGGGATCCAACTGCAGTTACCCCTGCCCCCAGTACACACACGCACACACACACACACACACACACACACACACACACACACACGTCATGGCGGGTGGAAGCGTCAGGTCTGGGTCAGCTTCATAACGCTGCAGCTGGTGAGGTATCATCTCGTTTCAGCAGTAGCTGTGATGCCTGCGGCTTACTGAGCGGTTATCGTTGCCCCTGCGGAATGCTCAGCGCATCCGCAACCGTCATAGCACGCTGGGCATGCACGCTGGGACAGGATACTGCGCTGCTGACTTGAGCACTAGCAGGTGCACTGCTGTAGGTCAACAAATATTTGGCGCATATCTATTTTCGGCCTGGTCATATATTATATGTTACTTGGCCAAAAATTTGTTGCGGCCGATATTTTGTTTTGCAAGGTTCAGTGTGACAGTGCAGACAGTCCGCAGCAGTACACGCCGCGGCCGAAATGTGTTTTAGCCCTGGGAGGCCGAAATGTGTTTTAGCCCTGGGAGGCCGAAATTTGAATGGGGCGACAATTTGTAGACTTACAGTACGGAGCACTCTTGTGTGGGGTAGTGCCTTTGCTGTTTGCGTTATGCAGAGCTCACTTCAGTTGTGAGCACTCTGGCAAGGTACGTTCGAGCCTGGTTGACATCTGGCTTTGGAAAATTTGTTTTTCATTGCTTTCAGGTTCGGTCTCATTTTCTCGGTGCTGCACTGATGTGTCCACAAAGGACGAAACAGTTCTGTCCGCAGATTGAGTAGACTACAGTATGTACGGAGCCTGGGCTACTGCCGCTGCACTGGCGGCAGCACCGATGTGTACGGTGATGGTTGCACTAAATTCTGCTTTCCCTGCTGCTTGGTAATTGAGTGCTGCGCTGCTGAGTACCAGCGTGGCCTTGGCTGCCCAGAGTGACTTACGGTAACAGCAGAGTAGCCATCAGACGTGCCACTTGACTGCTGTGCAGCTAGCGCTCCAAAATCCAACTCTGCAGTATCCACGCTCCATGCGACCTGATTCGTCACGCACCAAATGAACCTCAAGGTGTCGCACAGCCTCTACCGACTCTACATCAAAAGATCTTTGCAACGTTAAGCAGACTATTGAAATGGCATCCCTCAACATGCTGAAACAGAAAGTGGTGATTCCAGGACATCCCCTTCCGCGTCGACAATAGACGCCGATGGCACTGTCTGTTGACCAGTTAACACTAATGACAGGGCACCGATGCAACCACAGCGGGCTCGACCATTATGGACTGCATCTTTCCGCTTTAGACCCTAGGTCATGTATCAGAATGAACTTTGGTCTCTTAGATTCAGTTTTCAGACACTTTCTGGTTTTTCCATGTTTTTTTTTCTTTTTCTTTCGATGTAGTTTTAGCACGACGCATGCATGGCGAACTCATTATGAAACACTGGGTTTGGAGAAGACCGCGACGCCCAAGGAAATCAAGGCTGCGTATTTCGATCTGTCGAAAAAGGTGAGCAGAGACCTGCCGTGTTGCTACCTGTGTGCGTCCGCTTCTGATGCCATCTTCTTCTCTCCACTCTCTGTCTTGTTTCTTTTTGATAGTGAATGACAAAAGTGTTTCGGCTGGTTTTATTTTGCCAGCCTAAGAGTAGCTTGACCGTTACTTCTTCTAACATTATCATTGTCTAAGGCTGACGGTTGTGTGCATCACCGATGCCTGTGTGTGATTTGTGTGTGTATGTAACTTCTAGCATCATCCTGATCTCAATCCGGATGATCCCAACTCTCAGGAGCTGTTCGTGAAGGTAGGCAATAGGAGCGCCACTGACAATACAAACATACCGTATTTTCTCTATTACAAGCGCAGTCTCTTGTAGAAGCGCACTCCAAGAGGGCTTCGAAAATATACAAGCACAGTCTCCAATGTAAGTGCAGGGCTTATAATGGAGAACTGTATGGATCATGTCCATGCATGTTTGACATCCACAGTATCACATACACACATGTTATGGAGCAAATCTGTGATCCCCGAGATAAAAATGACTCGGTGTACCAGGAAGTGCAAAACTGCATTCACGGTGCCTGGTGGGAAATGTTGTACTACTGGTACTTCAAAGTATAAGAATAAAATACTTGTACCCGTTGGTTGAAAAATCATAAGCCCAATCTCTAGTAGAAGCCCAGTCTCCAATATAAGCCCAAGGTGAGGACTGGTTGAAAAAATATAAGCCCAGGGTTTATAATGGAGATAATACGGTATGTATGTTACTGCATCTCACTGTACTGTACAGACTATGTTATCGGTATGCCTTAGTCCTCCCTTAGTCCTCCCTTAGTCCTCCCTTAGTCCTCCCTTAGTCCTCCCTTAGTCCTCCCTTAGTCCTCTCTTAGTCCTCCCTTAGTCCTCCCTTAGTCCTGATCTACCCATGCAGTTTATCTTATTCCCTTCCCATACTGGTCAAGTGCTGGTTCACTGTAGGTAGTAATTATACACGTCTGTGTGCAGCAGCCATAATGCCTGTCCTGGAAGTAACTCCAGGTTTGCTACGTCGCAAGGGTATTCTCTGTCACGCTCACTGGCTCTGTTACTTGTGTTGCTCGCTGCGTATGTGTGTGCGTGCGTGCGTGCATGTGTGAGTGCATGCATGCGTGTGTGCACGTGTTTGCATGCATGTGCGTGTGTGTGTGTGTGTGTATGTGTGTATGTGCACGTGTCTAGATAACAGAGGCGTACTCGGTGCTCGGTAACAAGGACCTGAAAGAAACGTACGACCAAAGCATTGCACCGCGTCCCACTCAGGAGATGGTGTATCGCAAGCACTGGCAGGAGCCTGGCAAGCGGCCTATTAACAATGAGTGGGAGATCTACGAGCGTGTTCAGAAAAGGAAGAAGGTGGACCAGAGAGAGAAGTATGCTGGACTGACTGTGTGCTTCTTGTCATGCCGAGCAGACTGTCTGTGTTGGTTTCAATGGCGCTGTTGTGGTTGTTGTTGTTTGTTGTTGTTGTTTGTTTGTAAACTTTATTTAGAGTGGGAAGTCCAAAACAGGCCCTAGCCTAATAACAATGGTCCCACTAGTGAGGGAATGCTGTATATCTGTGCATAAGTATCAGTGAGTGTAACAGCAACTAGTAGGGAAAGAAAAAGAGAGAAGAAAAACAACTCAAAACAGGAGTTGCGACTTGCATAGGGAGAAAATAACGTAAAGAGCAGTGCATACAGAGTTTTTGTTGTTGAAACAGGAGAGGGGGGAGGGGTTGGTTAACGCAATCTGGGGACCACAATAGAGTTCTATTCAGCTTTCTAGCATTTACTTCATGATTAATATTTTATAGCAAGAGTATAATTATAACCCCCCAAGAGTGTGCAACTCTGCATATGGGGTCTCCGACGGCGAAAACTCAAATCACGTGTCTCCGGTGCGTTTCGTACTACATACAAACGAAGGATAGCGTGCGCGAAATCCGAATATCTGCCATGATCGTGCTGGGGATTTGCATCCCGCTGTGAGTTTCTGTTAGAGAGTGCTTTCTATTACTCCGCTGCTCCCTAAAAACGGGCTGGAAACGTACAACTGCGACACTGCACCACGTGATGTGAGTTTTCGCCGTCGGCGTACCCCATAGAAAGGGTATCATGAGTTGCACACTCTTGGGGGGAGGTTATATACTCTTGTTTGTAGGTGTAAGGCGAACTCTTCGTTACGTGTCCCGGAATCTGCAAAAACCAGGCTCAAGGTGAATATTTCACGAAATGACCTCTTTTTTGACATCTATAGGTAGGGATGAAACGATCATCCATTTATTCTTATCGATTACCAGTAATTTTATTCTAAACAATCGAGTTCTCATATAACGAGTATGCTGGATATGTATTCTAATCAAAATTTCCTGATTTCCGGAACATGATGATAGTGCATGGAAGAATGTTGACACTGGTTTCGTTCCTGCTGCTGTTTGGTTCGCATCTTCACCCTGCTTTCCACCTACACCTTCAAGGTACTAGGGCGTATGGTGAGTCTTCAAATGGTTGAATAAATGCGTTGTACCACTGACGCGCGAGCTTCCCACTGCACAGTTTGCAAACAACGGACATCGGGCCGTTTTCATCAGAGTACGCCCTCACCGGAGATCGTTTCACATTCGATATCTTCGGCGGCGTGGTTCCGTTGCAGCTGTGTCTTCTGTGGCTGAAATGGGATCCGGGCATGTGTGATGTCACGGCTTTCCTCATGGCAGAACTCCTGGATAGGCTGCTCGCTCATGGGACATGCCAGCTGGCTGGACGGCAGGATGGCAACTGGGATAGATTAAAGCCAGTCTCACCGCCTTTCTTGATCCTAAACGAAACGTCAGGATACTTGTCTGAGTCTGACATGGACACAACTCCAGGCCGAGCAGCTGAAAACTTGGAACTTCTGGTAAGATGTTGTTTTCTGCAGGCTTGAGGTGTTCATTTACAAAGGAATCCCAGTCTCGCCAATCCCAGCTGAAGCAGGTTTCTTCATTGATGCTGGCAGAATCATTGACAACACTTGTCAGCTGTGCCACAGGATCTACATCAGACTTACGGTCACCGCTTCAGTAGGCCAAAGCCAGCATCAACAAAACAGCACGCGCATGAAGTCAAGCTTAATTCCCGTAGCTATGCAAAAGACGTTACTTCAGTAACGTCTGGCGCTAGCCAGGGTCCACACAGCTTTAAAGGGGAAGTTAAGGCAAAAATCAAAATTTCACCAGTTGTAGTCTTCGGGGTGCTGAGTCGAATGGTCTTGGTCCGAGAAAGCTGAGACGCTCTCTTCCTACTTGAATCCCAATCGAACTCACGCACTTCCACCGAAACTGGGTGACTGCGCCCTACTAGATGGGGATTTGTATGCAAAATGTCACTAAAAGCGCCATTCCGTTCTTATAAAAGCACGGATGACCGCAATTAGCCCATATGTTGTAGTCTTTTGGACGCTGAGTCGACTGGTTTTGGTCCGAAAAGGCTGCGATGCAGCGTTCGGCCCTTATTCCCAATCGAACGTGGTTGAACAAGCGGTCACGTGCTCCTGGGTGTCCAAATCACCTGGTCACCACGCCAGCAGGCGACAACTTTCACACCAAGGTTCAACTCGAGTTCAACTCGAGTGACAGGACTGCACCCAAAAAAGGTCAAACAGGCTAGTAAGTTGTACCCTACAGGCACGGTGACCAGGTGACTGGTGTACGCAGGAGCACGTGACCGCTTGTTCAACCACGTTCGATTGGGAATAAAGGAGGAACGCTGCATCGCAGCCTTTTCGGACCAAAACCAGTCGACTCAGCGTCCAAAAGACTACAACATATGGGCCAATCGCGGTCATCCGTGCTTTTATAAGAACGAAATGGCGCTTTTAGTGACATTTTGCATACAAATCCCCATCTAGTAGGGCGCAGTCACCCAGTTTCGGTGGAGGTGCGCGAGTTCGATTGGGATTCAAGTAGGAAGGGAGCGTCTCAGCTTTCTCGGACCAAGACCATTCAACTCAGCACCCCGAAGACTACAACTGGTGAAATTTGATTTTTGCCTTATGTACTGAAAAATTGTACACAGACTGAATTTGATCTCGACTCACCTCAAATTCTATAATTATCCGGGTCATAACTTTAGTCTCCTTTTGACGATTTTTTCAATCTTGGGCTTCCTGGAAAGCTCGTCGCAAGAGGAACACATTGAGCCCACGCTTGCCACCACGAAGGTCAAAACGCAAGCGCTACAGCCCAGCGTCTTAGCTGCAACGCCAATATTCCGACAGAAGTCGTCTTGCATCAGCGATTTCGCTCTCCTTGCTCGTAACAACTAACTGTTACTTCAGAAAAATTTCACAATCTGTCATGAGTCCGTTTACCATTTTGAACGTGTTTCTACGTCACTGCATGCCCAGAATGATGGGGAAATCCCTCATTCAAATTTGCGCGAGCGGCTATTGAGCGACATTTGCCGCGATTCGACTTTCGAGCTTCGTAACTCTGAAACCACACATCGGAGCGCTTCAGCGATTGTTTCAATGGACAGCTGGGAGTTTTCTCTTTGACTTACATATTTTAGTTTTCGGATATAACCCAGAAATGACTGAGTTACGATCGATTGAAAATTTGAAAAGTTTCGATCCCAGGGGATCGAAAGTTGTACAGTCCGTACACAAAGGGTTAACTTCCCCTTTAATTCCGTGTTTGTTTGTTTGTTTGTGCCGTCTGCATGCGCATATGCCTGGCGCTATCCCGTACCTGTCCCGTACCATCAAAGACAGCTGGCCACAAACAGCTGGCCACAATTTTCAAATAGGGCTTTCAAATGCAAGATCTTATAAACGTGAAGCAACTTGGAAGAATGAGTATGCATGAGAAGTGTATCGGGGGATGCATGCAGGGTGATAGTGCGGGTTCGAATCCCAGGTTATGTCTTTAAAAAAAAGAGAGGAGAAATGAAAAAATTATAACATCCCTATGCTTTTTTTGGCCTAGGTCATCAAGGTGGTAGACTGTGTCGTATTACCCTCGAGTGCAAAGAGAAAGTTTGATGTAGCCAATCAAAGGAAAAAAAACATTTCCATCAGTTCTAATAACATGCATGATGAGCTAGCTAGGCAAAAAGGTATAGTGTAGGGTAGGCCTTTGCGGATAATGCCGTCAGAAAAATTGGCAGAATTCGGTACTTTTTCTGGTAAGTTTCATGCATGTTTGGTATGTGGATAAAGAAATGGAGCAGAATTCGAGGAATTGCCCGCCATAAGGTTTGTATGGTTCTGCCAATTTCACTGCTTTTCGAGCAGAATCTGCCACCTTTTCGAGCATTATCCGCCAATGCCTAGCGCAGGGCCCTGAGCTTCCAAGCTCTCTCGTTTCATTGTTCAAGCCGAGAATCACACGCCATGCCAAGTAGCCAAGAACGGCATTGGTCTTGTTCTGCCCGCAGCAGTTGTCAGCATGCAAGCCAAGAACCTTGGCGTGTGTTGCCGTGGCCTGCAGGTAGTAGTGCAACATAGTGAGAACTGCAATTTGGGCCCATCTTTGCCGATGGTCTGGTGCTCATCGATCAGGAAGTTGAGCCGAGCTGGAATGCCTTTGTCAGCTATGCCAACTAACTGCGCTCTCTTTTGTTTCCTCAAAAAATCACCCTATTTAATAGAGCCTGGTTTTCGCAGAAGTAAGTTGGGCCGTGTTATGTCCGAGGACTGTTGTATAATGTGAAGTGGTTATGTTTGGTTTAATTTCAGGTACATTGTGGCTGGTTTTGTTTGGTTTAATTTCAGGTACATTGTGGCTGGTTTTGTTTGGTTTAATTTCAGGTACATTGTGGCTGGTTTTGTTTGGTTTAATTTCAGGTACATTGTGGCTGGTTTTGTTTGGTTTAATTTCAGGTACATTGTGGCTGGTTTTGTTTGGTTTAATTTCAGGTACATTGTGGCTGGTTTTGTTTGGTTTAATTTCAGGTACATTGTGGCTGGTTTTGTTTGGTTTAATTTCAGGTACATTGTGGCTGGTTTAATCCTGGCAACTACACTCACAATCAGTGGCATTATGGTCTATGTGAAGATGGGCTTGTTGAGGTGAGTTGTAGTAGACTGTTTCGTGTTTGAATGATGAAAGATGTATCGGTGTTTGTGTTTGAGCCTTGAGGACATGTGCACTGCATCGTACTCTCACCAACATTGCGTATTATTATTGAAGTCAAGATTTCCACTACGCGCTCTGAACGTGAATACGGGCAGTGTGTGTGTTAGCCCGATAGTGAAATCTTCTTCACTCATGCTGTTTGCAGTGTGGATGAGCGCTTTGTGAACCGTGCTGATTCTCTCTGCTGGTCAGTATTTTGCTACTCCCTGCCCGAGCGTACCCTGCCGCGTACCTGCATACTTTGTAACCATCTTGCCCCGATCTCACCCGTCGCGAGAAAACGGCTCTGAGGATATCGTCAGACTGGTCGTGTATGCTCGTGTCATGTCCCGGTATTTTTTTACCACTCCCTGGTGTGCATGTATAAGAGGTAGGACGAAAATATTACGAGCTATGATTGCCCATCCACCATTGTAACCAGATCATGTAGATTGTACAGTCGGAGAGTACAACAACAAGGCATGAAACTGACCGGCAAGTGTATACCGTAATAATGCACTTATAAGCACATGCGCTTATAAGTGAATTTTTGCTACGAATCCAATTTTAACCTATTATTAAAACGCGCATGCGCGATCAGAGTTCGTTTGCCAGAGTTTGTGTTTGACTAGGTCTTGTAGTGTCAGTTTCGTGGTTCCTGTATACTGTTTGCAGACTTTTATCTGTGATTGTGTCAAAGTGATAATTTTGGTAGCGCTTATAAGTGAGAGTGTGCTTATATCCGAATACAGGCACATGCGCCTATATGTGCGTTACTACGGTATAAGCCCCCAAGAGTGTGCAACACCTGATACCCTTTCTATGGGGCTTGCCGATGGCGAAAACTCACGTCGCGTGGTGTAGTGTCCCAGTTGTACGTTTCCAGCCCGTATTTGGCGAGCAGCAGAGTAATAATAAAAGCACTCCCTGGCAGAAACTCACTGCGCGGATGCACCTCGCCAGCATAATCATGGCAGATTTTCGGATTGCGCGTGTGCTATCCCTAGTTGTACGTAGTACAAAATGTGCCTGAGACACGTGATGTGAGTTTTTGCCGTCGGAGACCCCATATACAGAGTTGCACACTCTTGGGAGTTGCACACTCTTGGGAGTTGCACACTCTTGGGGGCTTATATACTCTTGTGACTGGGAATAGTGAGCCATTCAACGGCCTGACATTCTGCTTTCTGTCCCTTCGTTGGGCCTGTCCTAACCCGAACCTTCCAAGTTGGAAAGTTGTTGGTTTGTACTTCGTACTTCAAGTAGATTTGTTGAAGCTAGGCATCAGGTCACTTTTGGGGGTTATGCACTCTTGCGTGTGCCCATTGGTATTTGTGTGTGTGTGTGTTCTTTCTCTTGGCAGTGGGAAGTGGAAGAAGGATCAGAATAAAATGGCAATGGATGAGTTCCACAAGAATCAGCAGAAATATTTCTTGGCCCGTGCGAGTGGCGGCAGCGGCATTCCCAGGAGTAAAGTTGACAAATAGCGGCACAGTGTCACAGTGTCCGTGGCATGTCAGGTATGAACAGCACACTTGCTGCTATCCTTTCAGCTACCTCAGTGTGGTGAGCATTGACCTGCTCCACTTGGTGATGTAACGTACTAATCAGTCAAGCCGTGACCTTCGGAGAGAGTGAGACGGACAGACAGACAGACGGTCAAGTTGTGACCTGGAGGGAGAGGTGAGACAGACAGACAGACAGACAGACAGGGACAGAGAGAAAGAGAAACGGAGACAGAGAGACACATTGTTTGTTTTTTGTACTGTAAAATTACTATTCAACTTGCACGAGGTTGTTCTGAGTTATTATAACATCACAGGATTGGCAGCTATCCATGTGTGTACATTTCACACAGGTTTGGCAGCTATCCATGTGTGTACATTTCACATCTGTTCTAAATTCTAATGTGTGTAAATGTGTGTTGTCCTTGTATACGTGGTCCTCCGTAGGTACCACTTGCCTGAAGTTTGCTGAGCAACTCTACGTGCTGCAGGAAAGCCCCTCGCCGAGCAAATGCAAGTAATACTTTGCTCCATGAGATCAGACAGTTGCACCCACCAGCAGCAGCAGCAGTGGTGTTGGGACTGGGGCCATCAGACTGAGCTTTGATTCCGAGCGAGGGTCGTGCTTTCGTGTCTATAGAATACGTGAGACCGTTCTGTTACCTTCGTTGGTACCCTTTCTCACGACAGAAGGCAGCAGCCAGTTTTTAATTTGGGTACTGTCCCACTGGGTGGATGCTTTCTTGACTTCGGCATACACGCGCCAGTTGTCTGCGCCGAGTGCATCGACCACCACGCACCACCGCTAGTGCGTGTGCACATGTACTGGTTGTAGCCGGTGCAGTGCATGCAACCATGCACTGTCTTGTGCATGGTCATCTCATGACGGCAGTGTAGTGCAGTGTAGTGTAGTGTAGTGTAGTGTAGTGCTCTTGACCAGTGCCCACACTGGCTACACTCCGTCCGTTTATATCCGTGTTGTTGTTTCCTTCGACGTATTTATTTCATTTTTATCTTTCCCGCACTAGAATGCTACTGTGGTATATTTTGCTAGGATATGGTTGTCATAGTGATGTTAGAGTTTTGAGGATATTAATGAGCAGCTGAGTTCTTCGGTGCATGGTGAACTGGTGTAACCAATGGTGTTAGGGAAGCCTATATCGGATCTACTCTGATGAGCAACCCACACTAGTAGTAGCAAGAGTATAACCTTCTCCGGGGCAGGGGTGAATGCAGTTGGATTTTAGGGGTGTCATCCGTTGGGCAGTTTGATAACCAATTCAGTCATCTTTCCTACTTTCCTCTTTAATCTCTCTCCGGGGGGGGGGGGGGGGGGGGGGAGTGAGTACGTGTGGGTGGTGGAATGACTGTTGAACTAACGTTACTTGTTGCAGTAACAATACAGTACATTACATGCAGGACGTTATAGGATATATTGTGACAAGAATACAATTTAGGAGTGGAATGATGTCAGTGTTTATCCGTCTGCTGATTACTCTCATGTGAATAGCAGCAAGAACTTGTTTAGACTGTCGCTGCTATTCGCTTGAGACCGATGAAGATGGTTCCTGCAGCTTTCTTATACATGTAGCTGCAGGAACCATCCAGACGGATTCTTCATCATTCTGGGTTCTCCCAGACAACCTGTTGCTCATTCGGTTACCCAACCTGCCATACTTAACATCTATGAAGGAGAGGAAGCATTGACTGGTCAAAAATGCTGATCAAGGTGACAGCTAGGCTAGCTGTAGCCAATTCGAGGTTCAAACGTGGCAGAATGTTGTACATGTACGCCTTCATTTTCTCGGTTTTACGTATTCTTTTTCACTCTCCCGCCAAGCACAACAAGACCTGCTCCTATTCTCAGAGCGAATCGAAAATTGGAACGGCAACTGCTTGGTGACTCCAATCCCAGATATAGTAGTAACGATGGATGCTGGGGAGCAGTGACGTCGACCAGCCTCACAGCGAGGGGCGCACTCAAGAGCTAGCAGCAGTGCACCTGGGCCTAGTATCCATCTACCAGCAACAGCCAGCTCTGTTCTTGTGCAGTCGGACAGTGTGGCGGCTGTCTGCCAGATCAACAAGCTGGGAGGCAGGTCAGCCGCACTTACCGGAATCATGCGCAGGATCTGCGACTTGGCAACCGAGATGAGGATGACACTGGTGGCGCGCCACACCCCAGGCATGAGCAACATCCAGGCAGACAGGCTGAGCCGGGAGAGAGACGCGAGCGACTGGTCCCTGAGCAGCAAGATTTTCGCGACGATCGACCATTGCCTGGGTCCCCACGATGTGGACAGATTCGCGAACTCACAGAACACCCACCTAACCAGGTACAACTCTCGGTGGCTCGAACCAGGTACGGAAGCTGTGGATGCCCTGGCGCAGGACTGGTCGGGGACACACAGCTACTATGTAAACGCCCCATTCTGTCTTCTGCCGAAAGTGCTTCAGCTGATACAGCGCCAAAAGGTCACAGCAATAATAGTTGCTCCAGTATGGCCTACGCAACCTTGGTTCCAGCTGCTGCAGCAGATGAAGATACATGTAGCTCCGACGATGATCATTTCGAATATCTCAGCGTCATACAGAGCCCCGACTGCACATGCAGCATTTCGTCACCCCGAGCCCCTGAAAAACTCGAGATGGGCTCTTTGTGCCTCGAAAATCTCTGGAGTCAGGTTATAGAAGGTGATGTACCACGCGACACAAGTTCTGCGTATTGCATGCGCCTCAGTGCCCCCCCCCCCCCCCTCTACGCTAGCTCGCTACTCACGAATCATCGCGGATCTAAACGCCTACAGCTGCAACCGCGGCGGCCATATCATGCGACTGGAGGTTATAAGCGGGTTCCTAGAGACCATTACGCGGACAACGGAGCGTCCTGAAGCCACAGTCCGGCTCGCTCGGTCAGCGATACGCTTTGTGGCTGACCTCCGTGGAAGCGAAGCGCCTGACGCCGCCCTGCTTGATCGAGTCTGCACCGACCTACCGGTAGTTGCCACTCGTACGTCGCGACCTCGGATCCATGGCAACTCCAAGCACAGATATTGGCAAGATAACGACGTACCTAGCTTCTATAGGCGCGCCGCATCATGTCAGTGAGTCAACTCCGACTAAAAGCTCTGCTACTGCTGTCCTTGGCTGCGTTCTGCCGACCTTCCGACTTAGCATGTGTGCCCAAACCGACGCTTCGGGAAGGGCAGGATGGAGACTCCTGCACGCGGTTCCGGCTGGACAGTATCACATGGACCAGCGATGGAATAGAGATCGTGCTGTACGGGTCCAAAGCCGACAAAGGTATGTCAGCTAACTCCGTGATAGTCGAATACGCCTCCTGCGAGGAGATGTGTCCAGTCAGAGCACTGAAAGCGTATTCCTTAAACTATTCTTGTCTCTGCGGGCGCCTTTGCCTCCGGCGTCTATCGCTCGCATTCTGACGCATGCGCAAGCCATGAAGGATTCCGGTCAGGAGAACAGAATAACCGCCAGGACGCTATGACCGACGGGAGCTAGGAAGGCTATAAGCAACAACATCGAACCATCCGTTGTACAGCACCGAGGTAGATGGAAGCGCACTGATGTGTTTAAAGGGGAAGTATACCCTAAAATCAAATTTTCACCAGTTGTAGTCTTCGGGGTGCTGAGTCGAATGGTCTTGGTCCGAGGAAGCTGAGACGCTCCCCTCCTCCTTTATTCCCAATCGAACTCGCACAAAAAAACACTTCCACCGAAACTAGGTGACTGCGCCCTACTAGATGGGGATTTGTATGCAAAATGTCACTAAAAGCGCCATTTCGTTCTTATAAAAGCACGGATGACCGCCAATGGGGAGGTTCCGGAGTACGATTTTTCGTGCCAAAATCCGTGGAGGCTCTACGGATTTTTTATACGTCGTTTTCGAGCAGTGAAAAGTTCCGGGGTACGCAACTTATGTGTTTGCCGTCATTGCCTAGGTTACGATCGCAAAAACGTCACATTCCCGCGCTATGCCTTTTTATTTTGAAAATTTGTACCGAAATCAAAACTTCCCGCGAAAAATCGATGTTTCTCGTACCAAATTTGTACGCGAAAAATCTTTCTGCACCCGATGACGCAAAATCTCCATACGAAGCATGGTTCGTATGAAAGCCAGTCCACACGGATTCTCGTGCCGAAAAATCGTATGGAGCACGCCTGGAAAAAATCCGTAGCGCCCATACGGATTTTGGCACGGAAAATCGTACCCCGGAACCTCTCTATTGGCCCATATGTTGTAGTCTTTTGGACGCTGAGTCGACTGGTTTTGGTCCGAAAAGGCTGCGATGCAGCGTTCCTCCTTTATTCCCAATCGAACATGGTTGAACAAGCGGTCACGTGCTCCTGCGTACACCAGTCACCTGGTCACCGTGCCTGCAGGGTACAACTTACTAGCCTGTTTGACCTTTTTTGGGTGCAGTCCTGTCACTCGAGTTGAACCTTGGTGTGAAAGTAACGTAACAGTGTCGCCTGCTGGCGCGGTGACCAGGTGATTTGGGCACCCAGGAGCACGTGACCGCTTGTTCAACCATGTTCGATTGGGAATAAAGGAGGAACGCTGCATCGCAGCCTTTTCGGACCAAAACCAGTCGACTCAGCGTCCAAAAGGCTACAACATATGGGCCAATCGCGGTCATCCGTGCTTTTATAAGAACGAAATGGCGCTTTTAGTGACATTTTGCATACAAATCCCCATCTGGTAGGGCGCAGTCACCCAGTTTCGGTGGAAGTGCGCGAGTTCGATTGGGATTCAAGTAGGAAGGGAGCGTCTCAGCTTCCTCGGACCACGACCATTCGACTCAGCACCCAGAAGACTACAACTGGTGAAAATTTGATTTTAGGGTATACTTCCCCTTTAAGCAACAGGCACTATGCTGGTGTCACAGCCTCACAGGTCCAGCCACAGACACAGTGCTTCAGTAAGCTCTCCTTATGCATGCCTCGGTACGCGGTGTTGGCGGCTACTCTTGTACTTTATTACTCGTACTTTTCTTGACTTGCGTTTTACTTCCAATTATTTCATTCTATTTTCAGTACAGGTCGCTTGGGTCAGTACTCGGTAGCCATTGCTAGAATCCCTTCCCTTTGAGTTCTACAACCATTTCGCTTCTCACCAATATAGCAGAGGGCTGTTGTGTGAGTAACTGGTGTTACTTTAGTAATGTATGCTACCACACAGCAGCCTGATGCTTTCCCTCTACTCCCATGTACTACTACTGGTATCTAGCATGTACTGGTATCTAGCATTAATTTTAGGGATACATGTAGTAGATGGCTATTTGTTACTTTTGCTCGCGACCTTCGCGCCCATCAAAATTGAAGTGTACATGACTTGTATTTTTTTCCACGCTGTCAAACAACAAATAACTCCAAAGCACGAAAAAGGCCAAAAACTAAACCAAGAACATGTGCAATAACATGTTATTTAGAAAGACAGGACAAGTGAATAATTAGTCAGTCCATTGAGTCCATTGAGTCCATCAAAATTGAAGTGAGGTCTTACCATCACCATTTTGGTTCTTACAAGACAAATTTAGGTGTCTTCGATCTATCTATTTTTTCACACTTACGTGCCATTTCTCACAATCATTATACCGGTAGTGTTTTCACACACACTTTAATAATACGTGACATTTCTCACAATACGTGGCCGGAGTTAGGCTAATAATAAAGTTGAAGAAAGCATCAGGCTGCTGTGTGGTAACACACAATGTACGTGACTGGTGTGTACATCTTGCATGTACTGTACATGTATGTTTCCGGGTGAGAAATGGACGGAACGGTTCCTGGGTCAACCAGTGAAGTAATTAGTTAGTTGTGCAATGATATCGGTTAGGTAGACTGACCGAGGCTCCTAGATCCTGGCGGCAGGTAGGCATCGGCGGATAATGCTCGAAAAGGTGGCAGATTCTGCTCGAAGAGCAGCGAAATTGGCAGAACCATACAAACCTTATGGCGGGCAATTCCTCGAATTCTGCTCCATTTCTTTATCCATATACTAGTACCAAACATGCATGAAACTTACCAGAAAAAGTACCGAATTCTGCCAATTTTTCTGCCGGCATTATCCACAAAGGCCTAGCGGC